AACTGTAGCAGTGCTGTCCTCTAAACACAACGCCAAAGTCAAATGAAATTTACAATTTAACTTTTGTATTACTACTTTTTGCAATCCCATATTTATGTCAAATGTTCTTATATAATGCTACTGCCAATTATAACAATTTTGACTAAGTTTATGTAACATATTTATATATATATATATATATATATATATATATATATATATATATATATATCATATATATATATATATATATATATATATATATATATATATATATATATATATATATATATATCTTTACATATATTTATATATATATATATATATATATATATATATATATATATATATATATATATATATATATATATATATATATATATATATATATCTTTACACATATTTATATATATATATATATATATATATATATATATATGATTAAACACAATTTATTAATATACAGTGATAGAGTGAGTGCTGATGAGATATAACTTGAAGCTGTCATTTAAAAAAAAATTCTACCCAGAAATCAAAAAATTAAAACTATTCACTAAATTATCCTCATTGCGCTTAACACTTCTGCCATTGTATAACCTTCACAGGAATCTTCCAATTTACATCTCTGCTTTAAAGTTAAAGTCCTAGATACGCAATCTACAAATTGTTTTTATGAGTCAAAAAATCTTCTGCAATGAGATTAAATAAATATTTTTTACATTTGTCATGTCTTTGTGTTAATCTTATGGTTTCTGGTAAGAAAATCATCCCAGATAGGTTGATATGACCAACTTAAATAACATATGTGTATGTTTAACAAAGCAATTCAAATCTTATGTGAGTAGAACATAAACACTTTGTGATTGATTAAAGCAAGAAACTTTTTAATGCACACTTAATAAACAACCAAATGTTTTAGGTTGTCAGTTTTTGTTGTCCTGTGCTGCACTAGAATCAATACAAAGTTAGGTTTCTGTCTATGAATGACAATCAATCAATGCAAAGTTAGGTTTCTGTTAGTAAATGACACATTCATCAATACAAAGTTAGGTTTCTGTCAGTGTATGACACATTCATCAATACAAAGTTAGGTTTCAGTCAGTGTATGACACATTTATCAATACAAAGTTAGGTTACAGTCAGTGTATGACACATTCATCATTACAAAGTTAGGTTTCTGATAGTGAATAAATATTCATTAATACAAAGTTAGGTTTCTGTCTATGAATGATACATTCATCAATACAAAGCTAGGTTTTTGTCTATGAATAAAATTCATCAATACAAAGTTAGGTTTCTGTCTATGAATAACATTCATCAATACAAAGTTAGGTTTCTGATAGTGAATGACACATTCAAAAATACAAAGTTAGGTTACAGTCAGTGTATGACACATAGAACAATACAAAGTTAGGTTTAAGGAATGACACATTCATCAATACAAAGTTAGGTTTCTGTCTATGAATAACACATGCTATATGCCAGTCAATACATTATTGTCAGTGATTACACAACACAATGTAATTTATATTTGATTTAAGATGTATACTTCACAATAAACAATGCTGTTAGGTGTTAAATACCATATATCAATGTAAACTAGTTGTGGTGATGTGATGTGTATGAAAGGTGAGTGCGATGGACGGATCACTGCTTGTAAGTGTTTATATAGTGGTGCGCGAGGCTGGGTGTGTTGACGTGTGTGTTGTTGAACGGAGTGAACGAGGGTAACACGGGAAGCGACTGGTCGAGTGTGTTGTGAGCGAGAGATTGGAGGTGTTTAGGGATGAAAGTTGGACGTTATAAGGCTGGAGTAAGAAGTGAATGTTGGCGTTTGAGATGGACGAGATGAAGTAATATGATTGAACTGGTTGTTGTTGCGTAACTTTACAGCGTGCTGTTGTTGCTCACAAGCTGTGTAAGTACGACCATCCTGACACCCTCAAACAAGTATACAACATATTTTTTAAATACCTAAACATGTTTTAAACAAGAGCAGTATTTTAAATGTATAATTTGACTCAACAAAATTGCGTTGATCTATTTTCAAAATTTAATACAGCTGTATTACTTGTAACAAACACTTAATTAGCGTAATTAAAAGCGGCAGTAAATACAAGAGTTACGTCATAGATAACACGACAACACGACATCACAACATCACGACATCACGACAAATCATACATCATTAAATAGATGACGACGCTACATCAATTTAATCACTCTAGGTAGAATAGATAATTTAAGCTGTGTCGTAAATTATGCTATAGTAACTTTTAAACACACACCTACCGTAACAATTTAAAATTTACTTTGATCTTACGCGAAGTTTATTTAAAGAAGTTGTGATGCTCTTGGCAGAAGATAATCAATAAAGTAGACGGTAAAACTATAGATCTTTACATTTCAGACAGTGGTTATTATTTTGTATTATTCTACAGGCGGATTCCTTATAAACATAGAAAGTTAGTATATTACCTAAACTTACATTGTTTTTAATTTTAAAAGTTAATATAGGAAAATAATACAGTGGTATAAGACTTTATTTGAAGATTTGCGGAGTTACTTCCTTGTTTCGGTGACTGGGTGTGTCTGAAATGAGAGATTGTATGTGATTTAACCAGGGACAGAAGGGAGACAACACGATGACAAATGTATCAGACAGTTCAGTAACAGAAGAGTTACTGGACCTGATGTCAGACCAGCAGCTCGCATCACTTAACCTAGGGGTGAACATCATCCTCTCCGCCGTCATCTGCTCCATCGGCTTCATCCTCAACATCATCAACATCGTTATCTTCGCTCGCATCGGCTTCACGGACAGAACCAACATCCCTCTCATCAGCCTGTCCTTGTCTGACGCTGTGGTGATGTGGACGTTGATGTGGGAGGGAGTCAGCTACAACCCCCTCTTGCTGCGGGAATTCCCCTTCGTGGACATCCTGGAGGTCAAGTACATGGTGTTTGGCTGGCCCCACATGAGCTTCATTCGCATCTCCGCGCTCACAACGGCCTTCATCACCTTCGAGAGGTTTCTGTGTGTTGCTCTCCCCTTTAACGTCAGGACAATCTTAACTCGAAACAAAACGGTAGTAATCGTAGTCGGTATTTATATCTTCATGATCGCCAGCACGATACCAGCGTTTATTGGATCTGGAGTCGGGGAGAAGAATCGTCCAAGTTTAAATCACACGGTAGTCGGATTCGTTTATTACGATAACGGCTACGCTTTAGAAAACATCTCGAAAACTGTGAACGTTGTTACTGAGATATCGTCTTTTGTAATCGTAATCGTGTTTTCTTGTGGGTTAATTCGATCTTTTGTAAAGAACAACGTGTGGAAAAATTCACAGACAGTATCGATTCAGTCGACTCGCGATAAACGGGTGGTAAAAATGGTGATTTTGATATCCGTGGTTTTCATAGTTACCTCCCTGCCTGGCGTGGTAGGGATATCTGCAGTTATAGCGGTGACTGATTACAATGTTGGTGGGCGGTTTGAAAATATTTTTTTCGGTAGCTTTTCTCTGTTCTTTTTAGTCGGCTCAGCCTCTTCGATATTGAACTTCTTCATCTACCTGAAGATGAGCTCAAAGTTTAGAGTTTTTAACACAATGATTCTGGCAAGGTGTGGACTAGGAAATCACATCTGCTGTGGCTCTACCAAGTTTGCGACTCCCGCCTAAACACACTTCTGCTCTGTCGTGAATTGTTTATTTATTTAATTAATATAGAAAAGCTGTGTGGCTGAAGTATCCTAATCCAGGAGCAGTTGTACACTGCTGATTATTTTGTTGTCGTGATACATATTAAATTAAATTAACTTGTTCGTGTTACCAATTATACGATATTAAGACAGAAGCCACGACAGTCAATTGTATTTTTATTGAAAAAGTGTGCGAAAAATGCTGTCGAAAAGAAATAATCATATTTTACAAGCAATTGGTCTTTTTTTAAATCTATTTTTTTTTAATTGTGTCTATTTAAAAATACTCCTTTATAGTTTTTATATACTGTGCCTATTTTTAACTAATTCTCCTTGGAACCAGTTTTGTTTCCTTTTTTTTTAAACTAGTTTTTTCTCTTTGATTCTATAGGATATCAAAGTATTGCACATAAATATTGCTTGCAAATCTACTACTGGTAATGTTGTGAACGGAAACAATTATCAAATTACTTAAACTAAATTAATTTGAAAATACACATATAGACCGTTCAAATTTGGATCTTGCGTAATATCGTTTGACATACAACAAAAAATGATTGATTTCAATTTATCAAGATTTTGTTCAGTTGTCTGAGAAAAGTCATCATTTTTAAAAAAAATAACCCAGACAAAATATCTCACGGACTAATGGTCTTACTGACAAATAATCTTAGGATCAAATATATCACGACAACCCTGAATAAACGTTACATAATTTCTGAGTGTTCAGAGGGTTTGACAAATATTGACAAGGGGAGGTAAATGGCGGTCGAAAATTTAAATTCTTATCTTCACATCTAAATGGAAAAGCCCTAATTTAAATCACATACTAAAATAAACAAAATAAAATTGATGTTAGCTTCTTTGGATAAGAAAAGAATGGTAATTATAACACCCATTATTAATTATAATATGATTTTAATAACCGCACATTTCATATTTTCAGAAATAGGAGAAATAAGAATTAGTTAATTTAGTAAAACGATTTATTTACTAAATCTAATTAATATTTTCAAATATTGCTCTTATATCGCTCATGCTACTGAAATTTTAGAGAAAAGATAATGTTTTGACACAAATCAAAATACACACCTCTCGCAACATTGCATGCAATATAATGTAAATGTAAGTGTATTCTTCATTTTTATTGGATGGTTGTATTTTAGGGATTATTTTAAAATATATTTTTAAATGCGTAATCGTAAATCCACATAAACTACAGTTAAGATTTTCTATAGTTCAGATGAGAAGAATAACCAAAGGAGAAAGCTATTTAAAAGAAATAACAAATAAAATATACGAGCTTGTTAAAGATAGTTTATATTGCGATTTTATGATTAACTTCCGTCAAACAAACACTGGTGACATTTTACTTGACTGTAGCGGATCTGACATCTCTCTCCGTGACGTTTGGCTGACATGTCAGTGACGTCATTGCCCACATGTCAGTGACGTCCTTGCCCACATGTCAGTGACGTCATTGCCCACATGTCAGTGACGTCATTGCCCACATGTCAGTGGGGTCCACTCACTTGTTGATGGGGTAGAAGACCAAAGACGCGATGCCACACATATTTTGACCTCGTGCAAGTCTCATGTAGCCCTGCTCTCCCCAGTTCACACCTGGGAAATGTAGACCTTGTATGTGAATGTTGGTACCTTGACATACAAAGACTAGCTGCATCCCGTGCTCCGCCACGGTAATTCTTTTTTAAATGTACCAACAGAACAAAACTAAACACAACACAAACGAACGCAAAAAAAAAAAAAAAAAAAAACGAAAAAACAAACACAACACTCATAACATAAACACAATTTGATTGCAATCATAAAGGTATATTGCTCACAGTCTAGCCCGTAGCGCCAAATCGCGCCCTTTCCGGTGATTTGCACCCCCCTCAAACTTTCGATTTGCACTCCTTCCCCCCCCCCACCCCCGCCCTAAAACTTTCGATTTCCACCACTCCCCTCCCCGCTCGCAAATTTTTTCCAACCCACTTTGGCGCCCCCTAAGGTCGGCACCCGGGGACATATGCCCCCCCCCCCTCGCTACGCCTCTCCTATAAAACCCGAAAGATAGAATAATAATTAGAAAACAGTATAAATAATAGGCAGTATCCATAATATATACAATATTTCACTTTATCCATTTACGCATTTTTTTTTCCAGTACTTTAAATTTTAAAAATTTACAATAGAGTTTCATAACTAAAACCATTGCGCACCTAATGAACGTGATGACGCGCCTATAATAGTGCTGAATAGTTGATTAAAAATTATAAGTAATAAATAGTAGGGCCTACATTCAGTGAATAAAATAAATAAAATATTGCCTTTTATCAATCCATGCTAATTAAAATTTTCTAACAATAATTTCCTCTTACACATCCGAATAATTTGCATTCACATTTTGCTAATTATATTATTGCAACACTAATTCCTTCTATGACGAACGTATATTTGCATTCACATTTTTTATTAGCGTGAGTTTAATGTATTTTTAAATTACCTCCTTTGTCAAAATTAGAAAAGAGTTAAGTTAATTTGATTTTTCTACCCTGCTGTTATTATGTTATTAAAATGTATCCACTTTTTCTTGGAGCCTAAACGAAAATGATATTTGACATTAATCTTTTTAATACGTTTTAGCAGTTTGCGTGTATTTAATATTTTCGTGACGTTATGCGAAAGAGTAAAAACCGTGGCAATTATAAAATAGCTCTATACCGCTATATAAACAAACCCTACTCTAATACTTATAATAAGACACTGCGGTGCACTGAAAAGCACAGCATGGTGCGAATGTTTACTTTTATGGTTCCAAAATCTATAGCGATGACGGAAGGAAGGACTGACACACTACCAGCAGCGTTATATTATAGATACTGCAGCATGTACATTTATTTCGTAGGTGTGAAAATGTGGATCTTGTATGTGAATGTTGGTACCTTACCATACAAACATACTGCACCACATACACTTATTATTTCGTAGGTGGGGAAATGTGGACTTTGTATGTGACTGTTGGTACCTTGACATACATACTGTACCACATACATAAATATCATGGGCAAATTTAGTTAAAACAATGGAAAAATACTGACAATAAGTGTAAAATTGCCTCCACAAGTAATAGTCTAAAATATGTGCGTATTCTATATCATCTATCTTTTACAAACTTTCTTTATGCTTTGGTATTTTAGTATTTATAACAATAAAATATTTAATTTTCAATGCAGACATTTGTCAGTAAAAGATTTTGTAAAACATTATTAAACTAAATGAATTTTTAAAACATTTTATCGGTGAATTTGACAAATGCATTTAAATGTGTAAGTCTATTAATATATAAATTAAGAGAGTGATTATTTCCCCTACTGTAGTTTGCTTGTTCTAATATTAAATCAGCAATGGTGTCGAATACTGGTTTTTGTTTTACAAGGATTACAAACCAAGAACTGTTGCGTTTCTTGCTATTTATTCCGTTGTATGTATCTGTTGTGTTGTAGTTTGTTTTGTATGTTTTACCTACATTGTATTTTATTCTTTCGTTTCCTTCAAAGTGAACTTTTTGGTAGTGTTTTACACCGTAGCAATACAACCACATACAGCTAGTATATATATATATATATATATATATATATATATATATATATATATATATATATATATATATATATATATATATATATATATATATATATATATATATTTATATATATATATATGTGTGTGTGGTGTGTGTGTGTGTGTGTGTGTGGGTGTATGCGTCTTTTTGTCGACTCGCCGCTCCCCCTAACCAGAAGATCTGCATACGTCTATGTTTTAAGTAAGTTACTCATTAAACACAACAATAAACTTTATTCAAACGTTGTTTCAAGTAATTTTGTTTTGCGCAGTGTCTACAAAAAAAAAACAAATATTTAACCTTTAAGTCTTATAAATCATACAGCACTTTTGTGCACTAGAGTCTGAGGCTCGACATAGAGGTGACATGGAATATAAAATAATATTACGTGACCCTTCCTACCGATATGTCAGGCACCCAATAGGACCGAGTTTACTCACCTATGTTCCAAACACGCACTTTTTACAGACCTGTTTAAACTTTTCTTTTATTCCAGTTGTTTTGTTTTTGTGATAGAAGAACTTGATATGTACTTAACGAACATATAATTAAATATTCGTGGTTTTAGTGCTGCGTTTGCTGTTGTCGTATTCGTTTTTGTGTGTTTATTTTGTGTTGCCACATTCGTTTTAACTTTTAATTAATCTCCGAAAAAGGCATTAATACTGACTCAAAATTTGTTCTTTAAAATTAAATAGGAATCGAAGAATCTTTAAAAGGGCCATAACTTCAATAAATAAAAGAATTCTCTTACCCCAGGAGTTCTTGATGATCCAGTAATCTTGTCCACCCTCCGTCCCGTAGCCGACCACCTGGACAGTGTGGTCTAGAACTCTGGCAGTACAGGCGGGGTCGGAGTAGATTCCCCCTGTGTACATCTGGAGGTGGGAGGTGGGAGGGGCGGAGTAAACATGACAAAATTACTCTTCTCAAGAGGTATATGAAAACTTTCACAACCTTTTTTATCGTATATATATGTATATATATATATATATATATATATATATATATATATATATATATATATATATATATATATATATATATAACATATTCAAAGACTTAAAGATGTTTCCAGACTTACAGTAAAAGTCTGAACTCCGGCATCAATAACAGCTACCAGAGGCAGCCTGTGTATGACCACCATCATTAGATCTTCACGTCCAGAGGGGATGTAACCAGTACTGGTAACCTGTAAAATAATATTTTCATGGTTAGTTCCCTTGGAAGTATATTGACTTCAGCACTAAATACATTTAAATAGTGAAGTTGCCCTTTCAGAGCTGGTAATCAGTAAGGCCGATGAATTCATGTGTTTCTGTCAACTAGCCATATACATAGACAGTGTGGTCAGCACTATGCGCATTAGTCTTTACTTTCACTTTCTTTTTGCAGGCACACTTCAGAGCAGGGTGGGCGCAGAGAAATCCTACAATCCGAACTATATATTCAGGTTGGCAAACATGCGCTTTAACTTCCGACCACGACAACCACATTAAAATTTAAAAAAAAACAACGAAAGCTACACACTATTCTTTAATTTTAAAATCAACCGTTAAGTTTCAAAATGTGTGAGCGTGTGTCTGTGTGTGTGCCTGTAGTATCGGTCGCTTTTAATCGCTAAAATTTGTCAATAATTTCGGCTACTAAATTATACAGCATGTATAAATATTATTAAAATACATTTTGAAAATACGCCATTCACCTATCTATAAACCATTCAATTAAAAGAATAATAGTTTATATCTATTGTCTGTGTAGAAAATCTTGTACACATTTGAAATCGCGGCTGCATGATCGCCAGTATACTTGTTTGATATATAAATAAATAAGTACTGCAGACAATGACAAGAACCTACCTGTGCGACAGGTGTACAGGTAGCGTTGTTACACCTGCCCGTCCCCCTCTGGTAGGAGCCTGCGGTACACAGCCCACCCAGCTGTAGCACACAGTCGAACCCCTTGTACCTGGGCTGGTGGGAGTCGGGGTCATCGCAACACTCGGCCACTTCGTCCACACTCAACACGATGGCCTTGGCCTTGGTCTGGATGGCCAGTAGGCTGGACATCTCCTCTGACGTCATCAAGGCGAGCATAGATTGGTTAATTACAGAATGCAATCAGCACTTCAATATTGACCGACTTATTTAGTGTAAGCTAAAGGCTTTATGGACATTGATATGTATAGACAACTTTTCTGTTATAAACATGTTTAAAGAGGCGTAGCGAGGGGGGGGGGGGCGGGGACATATGTCCCCGGGCGCCGACCTTAGGGGGGGGGGCGCCAAATTGAAAGTTTGAGGGGGGGTGCAAATGAAAAGTTCGAGGGGGTGCAAAACGAAAGTTTGAGGGAGGTGCAAATGAAAAATTCGAGTTGGGGGGTGCTAATCGAAAGTTTGAGGGGGGGTGCAAATACAAAAGTTCGAGGGGGGAGGGTGCAAATCGAAAGTTTGTCCCCGTGCGCCGGGAGGGGTCGCTACGCCTCTGCATGTTTATTTAAATTGCCATTGTTATTTATATCAATACCAGCATTTTACTAAGGGTTAGATGTGGCTTGCTTTACGTGAATAGGTTTTTTTATAAAACGGTGATGATAGCACATACAGCTCATAAATTGGTTAGGCAAGTGTCACTAGGCAACCGTCACTAGGCAACTGTCACTAGGCAACTGTCACTAGGACACTGTCACTAGGCAACTGTCACTAGTTAACTGACACTGGGCAACTGTCACTAGGCAACTGTCACTAGGCAACTGTCACTAGGAAACTGACACTTTAGAAATCTACCTGAAACACTACACGACACAATTACCTACCTGCTATAGCGAAGTCCGTGGGGTCACCCATTGCTCCTTGATTCTGTACTGGGGTGATGACCCCATAGTCCCTCCAGTCTAGACCCTCATTCTGCTTGATTGTCATCTGGACATTGGTCTAAAAACAAATCAATTCGACTGTTATCAATTGCTGGACATCTGAACATTGGTCTAAAAACAAATCAATTCGACTGTTATCAATTGATGGACATCTGGACATTGGTCTAAAAACAAATCAATTCGACTGTTATCAATTGCTGGACATCTGGACATTGGTCTAAAACAAATCAATTCGACTGTTATCAATTGCTGGACATCTGGACATTGGTCTAAAACAAATCAATTCGACTGTTATCAATTGCTGGACATCTGGACATTGGTCTAAAACAAATCAATTCGACTGTTATCAATTGCTGGACATCTGGACATTGGTCTAAAACAAATCAATTCGACTGTTATCAATTGCTGGACATCTGGACATTGGTCTAAAACAAATCAATTCGACTGTTATCAATTGCTGGACATCTGGACATTGGTCTAAAACAAATCAATTCGACTGTTATCAATTGCTGGACATCTGAACATTGGTCTAAAAACAAATCAATTCGACTGTTATCAATTGCTGGACATCTGGACATTGGTCTAAAAACAAATCAATTCGACTGTTATCAATTGCTGGACATCTGGACATTGGTCTAAAACAAATCAATTCGACTGTTATCAATTGCTGGACATCTGGACATTGGTCTAAAACAAATCAATTCGACTGTTATCAATTGCTGGACATCTGGACATTGGTCTAAAACAAATCAATTCGACTGTTATCAATTGCTGGACATCTGGACATTGGTCTAAAAACAAATCAATTCGACTGTTATCAATTGCTGGACATCTGGACATTGGTCTAAAAACAAATCAATTCGACTGTTATCAATTGCTGGACATCTGGACATTGGTCTAAAACAAATCAATTCGACTGTTATCAATTGCTGGACATCTGGACATTGGTCTAAAAACAAATCAATTCGACTGTTATCAATTGCTGGACATCTGGACATTGGTCTAAAACAAATCTATTCGACTGTTATTAATATCTGGACATCTGGACATTGGTCTAAGTAAAATAAATTCCCTTGTTACCAATAGATTTACAGCTGAACAACTGCTACACATTTATATAATTATTCATTAATAATAAGACAGCAAACATAATATGTCTGCATTTCTATGTAAATCTTTAATTATATTTTCATTAATTTTCACCGTAGATGCATTGCACATCAGTGTTTTTAACCGATAATTTAAACAGTTGTTTTCGTTACTTTAAATAATATCAAGTCTCGTGTCTTCATTGTCATGTACTCATTTAAACAAAGGGTATATAATGCTTATAATGCTAATTATATAAAACGGTAACGTTTAACTGTAGCAACTAATCAATATAAATCAAACGATCCACGATATAAATAGAACTCTAAAACACAGTACCAGAGCTGGAGAACATCCAGTCCGTGACGTCACAAGGATACACACGAGAAGAAACACAAACGTTGCCACCATTTCTAAAACAGTCACTGAAGCTAATCATCTCGTACCAACTATAATCTTGAACTTCATTCTACTAAATATAATTCAGCGAATCTCAAAATGTCAAAGTCCATTTACAGTTTTGGTGTACACATTTACACCTACCCCAACTCAGCTTTACAACAATCAACTAAACATGTAACTCTTGTTGGAATAACTATTGGGAGTGTCTATTATTACAAATAGCTGTCAGAAGGCTATTCGTACTTCGCTATTTTTAGCCGACCAATCAAATTTATTTTTTAAATTTACCGTCCTGTGCATATTTTTTTTTAATTATATTGCGTATGAGACTCGACTTTTTAACCATTGGGAACTATTCGGGTGGTAGATGTGGTTATGCATCAGCTGGTTTGTTTCCTAGGCGTGTGTTCCATTTGTTTTGGCTCAGAGAATTTTTTTTTTTTTGCTTTTTTACATTTTTATTAAAGGATTAGGGTTAGGGTTATTTTTATTGATAAGGTTAGATCTAAAAACATTAGTCCTAGATAGCATGAAAAAATGCCTCGCGCTGATTGGTCAGAGTACGAATAGCCTTCATAGGGCTATTTGTAGTAAAGTACGAATAGCCTTCATATGGCTATTTTTAGTGAAGTACGAATAGCCGCAGCCTAATTGTTTCATGCCAAAGTGTTAGGGTTTTTAAAACTTCTTCTTAACATTCTTTTTGTAAACAATTTAAACTGTTGTGTATAACTACTGTTGTAAAAAGGAAGATCAAATATTACAGAAACAATAGGCCTATATTAGACAACCCCCCCTTAGGGGGCGGCGTGGTCGAGTCGGTAAAGCTCATGGGTGCTAAACCGAAATCTGCCCGAGTTCGAACCCTCGGGCAGATCAGGCTCGTTAGCTGGGGAAAGCCACTCTTCTAGGAGAGACAACTCCAAAATCAAAAACTGCCGCCTTGTAGTTTGTTCTTGTTTGGACAAAGGCTATGAAGCAAAAAGAAAAGCAGGCTGAAATCGGAGTCAATGGCCTCAATGGCGCATAACCAGTTGACACGTAATCCTTAATTGTGATGGAAGCATGGTCGTGTCGGCAAAGCTCATGGTTGATAAATTCGAAAAAAAGTCTCGAGTTCGAACCCCCTGGCAGATAAGGCTCGATCCCTCCCAACACTAAAAATTAAGAAGAAGAAAAGAAGACAACCCTCCTAAATGCAACTTCATCACGATACACAATGATGAAAACTGTTTATTAGATCAATTTTTTTATTGCTTTATCCTTTTCCTTTCATTATTTAAGCGTGAAGAACATTCCTTATAATTTTAGAACCGCTGCATTGATAACAATCTAATCTTATGTGATACGAGTTAAAGAAACAAAACGTGCTAGTCTAGATAAGTAGGTCACAGATAAAAGTATCTTATTGTTTTATTAATCTACCTGTCACCTGTTGAATGACACACGCTTAAAAACGCAATCAACGCACAAAAAGTACAATCATTTAATTACTACCTTTATAAATGCGCTCAATGAATATAATATAATTATTTTCTTCAAACAAAATTCTGCACCACTTTTTATATGGCTAACAAGCATAACTTGGGTCGATTTACATTTATTTAAATAGGTCTATAAACAATCATGCATATGCTATGTGCCATGTATTATATTTTACTAACATTCGGACATTTGTCGCATTCGGACAAACGTCAATTGGTGAAACATTTTTTGAGAAAACGTCCCGATCCCGCACCTAAGTCTTTAAACGTCATTGAGTCCACCCAGCTCTGATGGGTACCTGACTGTATGACATCCCTGAGTTCACCCAGCTCTGATGGGTACCTAGCTTGAATCTAGTATCGTGTTGGCAGCTGGTAACTTTACAGACATAACAATACATACATAAAGCAACTGATCAATCATTCTTCACAAATACCTTAGTATCGTTATTTTTCAGACTTTAGACAAATAGGACAGACAAGTTATACTACACAAACATTTAACCCTAAGAAAAAAAATTCCATGTTAGTGCTAAAAATAATACTTTATTTAATATGTAAAAATATTTTTAAAATAATTTGAAAACAAGCTGAAATAATAAATAATTTGGGATGAAAATAAAACTTTAAGTGTCGCGAAAATATGATTAACAGTATAGATCAATAATGCCTTTTTCGTAAACAATTTACGTTCTTTTATGCCTTTGCGAGTAAAGTTTTAACTCTCATTAGAACAACAAGCAATTCAAGATTGTGATCACTGTTGTTTTCTTTTTTAAAAACTTGAATCAAAGTGCAAACTCGAGACTTCCATATTAGTTGACTACTGATGCTCTAACCCCCGACCACACCGTCCTTTTTTGTGTGTACAAACTGTTTAGACTAACATTAGTTCAACTCCCATAACATTTCTTTAGTACAATATAATACATCTTCTTAAATGAGCACTACACAGATACAAACATAAAGAGAATAAAATTTAAAACGAAAAAAAAATTGTAACAACCATGCATAAAAACTCTAATGTAAATGATCCTAGTCTCATCTTCGGCCCTTGTTTTTTGGTTGGCAATCGTCTTGACTGTTTAGTAAAAAGATAACATCATTAAAATCTTCACAAAACAGACAATATTCTAAATTCATAGCGTAAAATTACAAATTTAACTCAGGTATAAGACAAATTCCCGTTTGACCGAATGGACACTTGCACGAATGCGACAAAAGCGTTTCGGGGAACTGTCCATTATGTCATTTTTCCCATTCGGGCAAGTGTCCATTCGTGCCTTTATCGCATTCGGGCAAGTGTCCATTCGGGCATTTGTCCCATTCGGTCAAGTTTCTCCACTATATAAAACTAGAAGAGAAATAAAGATATATTACTCTGGGCTTACTTGCTGCAGAGTTGGCCTATGAAATCGTTTGCCTGCATTGAGGCGGATGATCCCGTTAGTGTGGTCACTCCATCTATCTTGATACCACTGTTTGTGGGGTCGGTGACGAAAAGCTAAGCAAAGACATCATATAGAACAGCATTAGAAGCAGCATTCAAAACAGCAATAAGAACAGGATTTAAAACAAACGTTTAAAAAATAATAGTAATACAATAAACCATAAGTGCAACTTTTTATGAATATGATATCTAGTAATTAGAATTATTTCCACAATTTATTGGGACCCCCAATGTATGTTTAAATTCTTTCAGTGTTTATTAATATGGTGTCGTACGCCAGCAGCTTTGGTACACTATAGGTATTCACTCATAGGGACCTCTGCACGAAAACTAGTGGGATGGGCTCAAATGTTCCAAGTCACACGCTTTGCATTAATTCTAATAATCCTCAATGATTGTCTAATATTGGTATACTGGCCTGATGAATTTTCTTTCATTTTATTCATTAATGCAAAGGGATATGCTTTGCAGTTTAATCAGATATAGCGTTTTCGTGATTTACTTTTCGTTACTTGTGACTGTTTTTCTCAGTTCGCAGCTTTTCAACACTAAAAAGCCTACTACCTTTTCATTTATTAAACAATGCCCACCATATTTTCAGTAGTTGTTCTTCATGAAAAAAAATACAACTTTTGTCACGAGGTAATTGTGATAAAAAATTATATAGTAAATAATATTACGCAAATTTTGAAAATTTTGAATACTAAAAAGGGTATGATATTTCAGACCAGGTAAAATTCTTACTTTTAGCTCTTTCAAAAAGTTGTCGTGAGAAACGTTTTTATATAAACTGAAATATAAGCAGTTTAAATTTGATTGCTATAAGTGCATAAATAAAAAAAGCCTTAGCGTTTTTAAAAATACAAAAACATTCAAAATAGCGAGGTTTTTTTTGGGGTTTCCATGACAACCAAAATTGTTTTCATCCCTTTTTTTTTGCTGTTCAATACTTACTTTCATGTGCCCAACATGGTAAAAGTATTCAAAAAGCTTTAGATCATAAATTGTAAAAAAAAAAAAAAAAAAAAAAAAAACGAAAAATAAAAACTTAAATGAAAAAGAGCATATCCCGTTAACAAAAAAAAAAAAAAAAGAAATATGACCTTGATCCCTTGTGCCTTGAGCTCCTGGATACGCTTTTCGGTTTTTTTATCTTTCAAGTCGCCGCTAGTGAGTGTGATGACGGCCACCTTAGACGCCGTCTCCCTCCCTCCCCTTGATGGTGTATAGGCGTCAGTCTTTAGACGCTGAGGAATTGACTCAAAAGTTTATCACAATTATCGTGCAACAGAAACCTGAGCAAACTGAAAGCTATTAAACCAGGAAATCGACATTCGTGCAATATAGTCTTGTAAATAAACGTTACATGTAATTGAATAAAAAAAACTAATAGGAGAGTTCTTGCACATTGTGATGGTCCAATACATGTCATTTAATTAATTACATATTGTAAACACCTCTGTTGCACAGTGTAAAAAGATTCACTGTAAAATACTTTTTAGCTAACACCCTTTTTTTCTACCTATTTTATTTTGACTTAAAAGGCTCAAAATCTTGCATAATTACATATTATTAACGTTAATTCAAGTCTTAAATAATTACACATTCGCGTTAATTAAAATCTTACATAATTACATTTTCAGTTAAGCTTTGACGGCCAATAAGAGGCAGCCAGCACATTCTCGGACTCACGATTTACAAGAATGGTAAAAACAGACAATCGAAAACTAAAACAGATTTCGATACCTCAAATTCACATTAATGACTGCAGATAAAGCCAATCAACCTGTCTGATTGTTGTTAACCCAGTAATTTTTTCCAAGACCCACTAAACGTTTTAGTTAACACTCACCTATCTAAGGCCAACTAACAATGTATATACCATACGTATTTATACATATATATTTACTATTGTCTTACATTAAAAAAGTCCTATTACCTGTAAATGTCCCTCTTACTTGTATTAATCCATCTTACCTGTATAAATCACTCTTACCGGTTTAAGCACTTTATACCTGTATAAACCATCTAATCTGCATAAACCAACTTAATAAGACCTATTGTATCAATCTATTTTCCCTGTAGAAAGTACTCTCATTTGATGAACCAACTTACTTGTAATAAGTCCCATTACCTGTGTAGTGTCCCTTACCTAGTCCCATTGTTTGACACCCCTTGCCTGTACAAAGTACAATTACCTGTGTGGCACCCCTTACCTGTACAAAGTACAATTACCTGTGTGGCACCCCTTACCTGTAGCAGAGCTGGGATACGCGTGCGGTCGTAGGCATCCAGTCGCTTCCTGATATCAGCAACGTTGTTGTAGTCGTCAAGGTCAAAACCTGCGTCATCGGGACAGGAGCCAGAGATCACACCAAACTGTGGGGTGGGGGAGGGAGGGATAATTGGTTAGAGACTACACCAAACTATGGGGGTGGGGTTGGGGAAACGATTTGGTTAGTCAAGCTTACACTATTGATTGTAGAAAACGGTTTTGGTAGAGAATACATAAAACTTTAAAACAAATTCCTAGGACGTAGATGACATCGAGACAGAATCTCCAACCTTCAACTGCAGTAATGCGCGAGTCAACCTTCTACTTACAAACACCTCAAAATCGGAAAGTTGGGAAGGTTTGGACATATGCTTAGAAGAATGGGATAAGTATCGCCAACTACGCACTAGAATGGAATACACAGGACGAAGAAAAGGCTGGAGGAGGTTTGAAAATGGAACATAGTCTATGGGAATAAAATGGGCCCAACTGAAGAGATCCCTCCAGATTCGAGTATTTTAGAAAATAGTGTTTGGTGCCCTTCCCTCTACTGGATTAAGTAAAGTAAAGCAAATACAATAATCAATTGACCCTGTATGCACGAGATACTAATTCAACACTAAATATAGAAAAAAGATATAAAAAAATTAAAAAAAAATAATTTTTAAAAAAAAATAATAAGCTTTTATGTAATAATGCACTAAAAAGGAGAAAATAACGTATATACTACTATTTAAATTACTATAAAGAAAAGCATGGGTCATTTTATTATCTATTGGATACCTAGTATTTAGGAAGAGACCCAGAATTTTCTTTATAGTAATTTAAATAGTATTGTATAAGTTATTTTCTCCTTTTTAGTGCATTAGTACATAACTTAAATTTTTTTTAGTACTTTACACTCGAGTTGCATGAATAAAAACCGTTGAGCACCTATTGAATGTGATGACGTGTTTATAAAAAATTAATTAGGCAACCTATTAAGTCACATTTAATGTCATGATGCATTGTCTTCATGTCTTGACCCATGTACCAACTACGAGCCGTATCTGTCAGTTACAAGTGCCTGCAATTTTGCTAGGGCGTTTCGATCTAGAAAGACTGACGACAGACTGACGACTGACGAGGAAGTGAGTTAAATAAAAAAAATTCATAAAAACGTTTTAATAACAAGCTTTTATGTAATAATGCACTAAAAAGGGGAAAATAAATTATACACTACTATTTAAATTAAACAAAGACCTGTGGCGAACTTTAAAGCAACAGCCAATAGAGACAGATATCAAGGCCCGTAACTGGGAATGGATCGGACACATATTAAGAAAAGAAAAAGAAAACATCGCAAAACACGCTTTGGATTGGAATCCCCAGGGAAAAAGGAGGGTGGGCCAGCCAAGGAACATGAAGAAGAACGGTTGAAGAAGAGGCGAAAACAGCTGGGCTCACATGGGCACAGATAAAGGGAGCAGCCCAAAACTGAGTCCGATGGAGATGTGTGGTTGCAGCCCTTTGCTCCACAGGGGCCACAAATGAATGATGATGATGATTTAAATTACTATAAAGAAAAACGTGGGTTTCTTCCTAAATATTAGTAAAGATATCCAATAGATACTAAAGTGACCCACACTTTTCTTTATAGTTTTTAAATAGTAGTGTATAATGTTTAGTACTTTACATATTTTTATTTACAATAGAGTTGCATGACTAAAAACCGTTGCGCACCTATTGAACGTTATGACGCGTTTATAATATTGCGGAAAAGTTTTATGAGACAGCCTACTAATTTGGACACAATTTTAATTAATTCATAAAAAATTAATTAGGCAACCAATTAAGTCACATTTAATGTCATGTTGCATTGTCTTTATGTCTTGACCCATGTACTAACTACGAACCGTATCTGTTAAATAAAAGCTTCTAATGACTTACTCTGAAGCCCTCTTTCAAATCTTCAGCGTTGATTGTGGTCGATATAAAGGAGGTGGTCCACGATGTGAGATCGAGACCCAGTGACGCCGGGCTGAAGACAAAGTAAATATCTGACGGGTTGATGACACCACACCCTGAGGATGTAAGACATGACAGCGACACTGACAGATGGCAGGTGTATGTCACTTACAGATGGCAGGTTAGCGATACTGACATTAAAGATGTCATGTCGATGTCGCTGACATATACCAGGTCAGTGACATTGACATTAAATATGACTGGAAACGTTAAAAAGCTGAATCTAAGTATGAAGTTTTTTACACGGAATAAATTGAGCTTTACCTTCGTCTTGTGGCGGTGGTGTGGTTGTAGGTTTCTCTACCTCTGTTGAGTATCAAGAAATAACACATTGTATCTCAACTTGTAAGCTATAATTATGTGTACACAAGTGTGGTTAAAAGAAAAGTCAAAAGTCAATGCCATAAGTAAGACTGGGGTTGCGTTAGTGACAGTAAACGTTTATTTGAGGTGAATCTAGATTAGGCCTCACATGGAATCAGTGGCGTAGCGAGGTCGGGTGTCACCCGGTGCGGCACTTAATGGTGTCACCCCCCCCCCCCCCTCCAGAGGCGTAGCGACCCTTCGCAAGGACAACCTTTCAAATTTTCGATTTGCACCCCTCCCCCTCAAATTTTCGATTTGCACCCCCATCGAACTTTCGATTTGCACCCCCCCCCCCCTCAAGTTTTTCTCTATATATTTTGCTCTTTTTTGCCTTGGTGTCACCCCCCCCTAAATGGTGTCACCCGGTGCGAATCGCCCTCCCCCCCCCCCCTTGCTACGCCTCTGCATGGAATCTACTTATAACCAAATCCTGGCCATACCAAAAACCTTTATTTGGTGCGCGGACCTTTGACCACAGGTGCTTTGACCATAGGGGGTTTGACCATAGGGGCTTTGACCACAGCGGAGCTTTGACCATAGGGGCTTTGACCATAGGTGGTTTGACCACAGCGGGCCTTTGACCATAGCGGTGCTTTGACCATAGGTGGTTTGATCATAGGGTGTTTGACCATAGGGGGTTTGACCACATGTGTTTTCTCAGCAGAGGGTCTTTGATCACAGGTGGTCTATCAACGGGTGTTTGATCACAAGCGCTGTATCCAGCTTTGGTCATAGGTGTGATACAATTAACACGATTTTATACATGTTTCCTGAGAGTACGTTAATAGAAATTAACATGTATTTAAAAAAGCCAAGAATTATATTTTAGTCTCCACATAAAGGCTGGCGCTAGACCTCATAGATTTATTTTAAATATAAATGAAACACAAATAATGCGACATATAACAAGTTTCACAAATAAATAATGTAGAAGTACTTGAAAATACATATCATATATAAAGGATAAAAAATGATACAAAACTTGCCAACAATATAGTCAAAGATGTAATACATAAAATGGTTAACTAAATGACAGATGTGCTATAGCACGCAAATATGTCAGTACATCTGTTTGACCATATTATTACATCATGTCGAAATTTAAAATATAATTTAGCAACTTTTAAAATAAATCCTTACCATATATGGACAGCATTGGACAAACCACCTGAGATCAAAGACCCTATGTGGACAAAACACCTATGATCAAAGCCGGACACAGCGCTTGTGATCAAACACCCGTTGATAGACCACCTATGATCAAAGACCCTCTGCTGAGAAAACACCTGTGGTCAAACCCCCTATGGTCAAACCCCCTATGATCAAACCCCCTATGGTCAAAGCACCGCTATGGTCAAAGCCCCGCTGTGGTCAAACCCCCTATGGTCAAAGCCCCTATGGTCAAAGCTCCGCTGTGGTCAAACCCCCTATGGTCAAACCCCCTATGGTCAAAGCACCTGTGGTCAAAGGTCCTAGGACCCTTTATTTTTATTGACATCTATGAGCTTCGTCGATGTGAAAAATTGCCTAATTTAACTCAAGCTCTGTATCCGCATAACATGAAATTCAATGTAATATTTATTGTACGAGAATGTATTGGTGTCAGCACATGACGTGCGTGAAGTTATAAATCATGTAGGCAGCAGTATATTTATTCTTAACACATTTTAAAAAGGCGAAAGAGGCACTTGGCAATATATTAGTGTACTAGTGGGAATGTGACAAAAATGTCATAATTTCAGTGAACTTTATGGGGTTGATTTTGTTGTAAATTCAATGAACTCAGGGGAATTGCCCAAAATGTTATAAATTCAGAGGTGGTACAAAATGTAATAACTTCAGTGTACTCACTCTCACACGTCTTGTAGGCCAGCTCTTGTTTGATCTGGCTCAGCTCCGCATATTTGTCTACACGGGAGACACGTGACTTGTCCCCTGCGATGTTGAGCAGCTCTCTTTCTTTGACGGTTGGGCCCACACCAATGGCGTACATAGTGATGTTTTGGTTTCTTGCGATCTCGGCTTCTTGCTTGGTAATATCTTCACTACAAAGTGATACGGTAACAATAAATGGTGCAACGGAAAATACCCTTCTCCCTTTTCTCGAATTAAACACAAGCTACGGCAACTTGTCTCAAAACAAAAAACTAAAAATAAAGTCATTTATACGTGGAGTCGGCACCTAAACTCATCGAACTAAAAATTCAGTAGAGGAAATTATGATGACACTAAACTACCATAAGACATGAGACCGAACTTCTTTGTGTGATCAGAAAATAATAGAAAACGAGGCAAGCACTATTGTTGCATACAAGTTACGTCAATGTAGCTACGCATTTTTTTCCAATAAGCTTTCTCAAAGTGGTCGTATGTGAATAATAATTAAACATATAAATCATAAAAGATATCATAACACAATGATTTAGTCGAATAACCTCATGTTTAAAATGTAATCAGTCGAATACACGATGTTAATGAAAACAAACTCAAAGCATCTGTCACCAATATTGTAACCGAGGATAAAAACATGCTGAGAACATCATGGTAAAGACCCGTTTAACAAGACAAGAAAGTACATGTTCTAGACATGTTTAATCAAAACCTGACCATTTTATGAACTTATTTGGGCAAACAAATCGAACAATTTTCTGAACTTTTCTAGGTTAAAAAAAATGGCCATGTTCTGTGCTGGTCGAATTAGACAACAAGCAGCCAATTCAAACTCCGTTTAAAAGAGCCAAGAAGAAGATCACAATCTAAATAACAATATACCAATCACAGGCGGCCAGGGACACAGTTTGAGCAGACTAAAGATACCAGAACATTCTCTAGACAGATCATCACTTACTCCTGGGAGTTTCCGTCCGTCAAGACGACGCAGACTTTTGGCACGTTGGGTCTGGTCAGGTGATTGGCTAGTTGACTCTGGTACATGTATTTGATGCCCTTCCCTGTGTCCGTTCGTCCACCGTAGCGGTGCCTAATTGCCCCAATGGCCGCCACTATGTCATCAAGTCGTTTGTATGTTCCCAAGTTAAACGCATCCTGGGTTACATTGTTGGAAGCATGGGATATAAATATTTTAATCTTCCACTTAATTAAATATTGGATTACTTCTGTGTATTAATTATTTCATTACCTCAGTGTATTAATTATTTCATTAACCCCGTCTATATAATTAATTCATTGCCTCCGTGTATTAATTATTTCATTACCCATATGCATTAATTATTTCATTACCTCCACCCCCACCCTTGTATTACTAATATTATCTCATTAACTCCGTGTATTAAAACTGTGTCATTACCCACTGTATTAATTGTTGTAACAGGTGTATTTATTATAGTTTATTTCATTACCTCCATGAATTAAATTGGAAACCCTATGTTCCATAAGGACTAAGTCAAGCCATTAAATTTTCATTACGCCCTGCATTAATTATCTCAATACCCCATGTATAAATTACCTCATTCGCCTCGTGCACTAATTATCTCATTACCTGTGTGTAGACCCCATTGCCGTACACGATAAGAGATACCCGCACATAGCCGCCGTCTACGTTGTACTGTTTGACAAAGTCTTGCAGAAAACTTTTGGCAGCCCCAAAATCTTGGTCGTTGATGGACGACGAGGCATCTAATACGATGCCTAGCTCTATAGGTTGTTGGTTACAAACTGCAGCAAGAGAATATAATACCTTATTGGGTTGTAAAATGAAATATGCGTCTTTAAACAAAAAGTAAATTGCCGAGATAAATGGCCTTGCAAAAATCTAATAATCAATTTCCTTCTGACTTAGGTATAGTTAAATAAAATCGATTATCGATGAAGTCTTACTTAACACGTGATCTCCATTATCGACGATCGATTGTTTCTTCAGTGCAGGTAGAGCTATGGACGAGATGTATAAAGTTAAGTGGGGTGGGGGGGGTGTAAATCAGTGCTACTAATATATACAAAGAAGAGGTGATTAAAAAAATAGTATGTGGACTAAACAGGTTGCTAAAATGTAAAGATTAAAATATGGGGATCGAAAAGTATTATGAAAAAAAAAATCTAACAAAAATATAACAAAGGGAATTTGTTTGAGTAGATTTTTAAATACGAGGATGTTAAATTAGCTGGATGAGTTTTAAACAAAATGTACCTATAATTTATAGATAGGAGGCTATATATATATATATATATATATATGCACGTGTGCAACATGCCAGTATACGTACCTGCCTGGCACAGAAGAGGCTGTAGAAGAAAAAAGTTTACAGCCTTTAGCAACAAACAACAAATTGTATGTTAGTGTTAATCAATACATGATCAAAAGCGTTTGTTAGAAGAGGCGGATAGCAAGCAAGGTGAATAACAATCTCGCTTGTGTCATTGTATTTAGCCTAGTCATGTGTGTATGATGATTGCTTACTACCAAAACATTACATAAGCACTGTTTAACTGATGCTCATGAGCTCATGTTTGTATTGACTATTACAAAAGGTTTTTCTCATGTCTGCTGGTTTGGGGGGGGGGGGGGGGATAGAGGATAACACGCTCTTACACCCCCCCCTTCTCCCAGACTAGCCACATGCCCCCCCCCCCCCCCCCCAACGCAGTCTGTGTTAGTGATGATAAAAAATCTGGTCTATAATAAACTGTTCTTTTACCAGTACCGTTAAACTCAATGTTTTACCACCAGAACCTATGCAGACGTAGCTCTGGGAAAAATACACTATAATTCCTTATACAGTGGTTAAGAAACATATGAACTCTACTTCATCTGCCCTATCGATCGTCAAGCCAGAAAAAAATAATGCTTTTGAAAATAGATTTGTTTTAAAAAGAACATCATCAGCTGTTCAAAGGGGTCATCTATAAATGATGTCACGCTTTTTAAGACGATTTTTACCTCCCCCCTCCCCTCCGTCACACAGCGTCAAAAAAATCCAGACCCCCCCCCCCCTAAAATGACGAAACACGTCAGCCTACAACGTCCCTCGAAATTGCAGTTGATTTTTTCTTAAAACATCGATATTTTTCTAAAATAGATTATTTTAGTAAATTTTTATTATAATTTATTAAAAAAGTTTTCAAAAAAGCGAAATAACGGCTAAAAACTCGTTTTTAACATTGCTTTTTTTATAATGCAAAAATGTGACAACACACCATCTCGCCCCCCTCCCCTCTCCCTCATCACACATAGTCACAAAATTACGAACCCCCTCTCCCCCTCCGAGTGTGACGTCATTTATGGACGACCCCAAACATGTTCTTCCTATTGACACAAATATAATATTGAGTTATATTTAGATATTTAGAATGTACTTTCGTAAAGTAATTAAAGGTAACGACTGAAAGTCTAGTAACACATATAAAAGTATTAGAGATTTCGAACACTTACCATCAACACAAAGCTAACTAGACAAATTCCAAGCATCTTGGTATCCGCAGTCTACAACTCTTGATCAAATGTTGATAAACTAAATCAGGTCAATATTCCAACTAGAACTCAAGTTCTATTGTGTGAAGAAGTGTGTTTGTAAAATCACTATAACAGCTACCGAAAAAATAACTTCAACTTGTGCACAAAAACTGACAAACAGAAAAAACTGTTCAGACTTTTATAACACAAAATCATGAGTCACTTAATGCCATAAAATTAGTTGTTTAATTAAGTAATTATGTGTAACTAATCGCTTTGTTAGCGTTAGAAATGTCTCGCCATAATTAACTCTAAACTTTTAAATGTCGTTTTCGTGACGCCCATGCAAAATGCCCCGCCTATTGGCAAGGTGCTGCCCAGTTTAATGTACTGTTACGCGAAAGTTTTCCTTTGACCAATCCGATTGTATGATACGAAGTTATTTCAGTATTAGCCCTGTCTGTTACAATGTGACTTAAAACATGTTCGCAATGGATACTATGTACTATCTATCCCAGGTCAAAATGATAATTGACAATGTCCAAATAGATGTAAAAATTTTCAATTTAGTTTGCTTCACTTTCTAAATAATGATGGGCAATAACATCAGGGATGATTTAGAAAGCCTTATTATTTTGTATTAAATTTACTATTTTTGAAATAGGTTACATTTACTTCATTTTTACGTACAAACACAGAAGCACACGTACTTACACTCGCACGTGTATACATCAATATTTACACACACACACAGACACACAAATTTCACCTATATATATATATATATATATATATATATATATATATATATATATATATATATATATATATATATATATATATATATATATATATATATATATATATACATATATATATATCAAGCAGCTGTTCAATCATTTTTCACCTAGACTTTAGTTCCGAGTTAGCCTACATGGGTATACCAATCTTGGTATAAGCTTACCTAGAGGTAGGGTTAGTAAAGATATTTAAACATGGATTTAATGTTTAGAAATTGTTGTAGTGGTAAGTATTAGAGTTAGATAAATTGTATATTACATTCGTCCAATTCAGATGTGTGAACAAATGGGCGTGTGTTATCTTGTTTGTGGTCGTTAATCTCCCACATGAATTGTGTAGTACGTGTTTACTGAGGAGTCTGGCAAGAATTCTATCGCTATTTAGCAGACTTTTGACACACAGGATTGACAAGTTATACGACAAAATATTTAAAGAAAAATAATTAAATGTTAGTGCTAAAATTATAACTTTATTTAATATGCAGAAATATTTTAAAAAATAATTCGAAAACAAGCTGAAATAATAAATAATTTAAGAAGAAAATAAAAACATTATGGATCAATAATGCCTTTTTCGAAATCACTTCACGTTCCTTCATGCCTCTGCGAGTACATTTTTAACACACATTAGAACAACAAGCAATTAAAGATTGTGGTCACTGTTGTTTTCTTTTTTAAAACTTGAATCAAAGTGCAAATTCGAGACTTCCAGATTATTAACTACTGATTTTCTAACCCTCGACCACACCGTCATTATTTCGTGTGAGCAACCTGTTTAAACCCGCCTCTTTATCAAACTAACTTTAACATTTCTTTAGTAAACTGTAACACATCTTAAAGCACACAGCTCCAAATACAAATATAAATAGTATTAAATTTAAAACGAAAAAAAAAAAGAAACCATCATGCGTTAGAACTAAAATCTTCGGTCCTTGTTGTTTGGTTGGCAGTCGTCTTAACTGGGTAGTGAAAAAAATAACATTAATTAAAATCTTAACAAAACAGAAAATATACGAAAAAAATACATATTTAACTCCGGTCTGATACAACTTCCCGTTTTACCGAATGGACACTTGCAAGCATGCGACAAACGCATTTTGGGCAAGTGTTCTCCCGAAAAAGTCCTGCATTTATTTAACTGTAGTAAGTTACTCCAGTATAGAAAAGTAGCAGAGACATCAAGATATATTACTCTTGGCTTACTTGCTTCTGAGTCTGCCTGTAAAATCGTTGGCCTGCATTGAGGGGGATGGTCCAGTGAGTGTGGTCACCCCATTTATCTGGATACCACTGTTTGTGGGGTCGGTGACGAAAAGCTAAGCAAAGACATCATAAAAAGCAGCATTAGAAGCAGCATTCAAAGCAGCAATAAGAACATTATTTAGAACAGACATTTTAAAAATAATGGTAATATAATATATCATAAGTGCAAATTTTATGTATAAGATATCTAGTAATAACAATTATTTATAAAAATGTATTGCGACCCCCAATGTAAGTATGATTAAATTTTTTAAGGGTTTCTTTAAATGGAGATGTATGCTATCAGCTTTGGTACACCAAAGCAACTCACTCGCAGGGACTTCAGTACCGGAACGAGAGGGGCAGGCTCACAACGTCCTAAGTCACACCACTAGCATACATTCTAATAATCCTCAGTTGTCTGCAATTAGTATACTGGCCTGATGAATATTCTGAGCTTTATTCAATAAAAAATTAACATCTGACCTTGACCCCTTTTGCCTTGAGCTCCTGGATACGCTTCTCTGTGTTTTTATCTTTCTCGTCGCCGCTGGTGAGAAAGATGACGGCCACCTTAGACGCCGTCTCCCTCCCTCCTCTTGATGGTGTGTAGGCGTCAGTTTTTAGACGCTGGGGAAGTGACTCGAACGTTTATCAAAAGTAGCGAGAAATAGAAACCTGAGCAAACAAAGTATTTAAACCAGGAATTGACATTCATGCAATATAATCTTGTAAAAGTAAATATACAGTACGTTAAAATTATTGAAAAGTAGTTCCAATAGTAGGAAATTTAAGTTCCATAAATAACGTAACATGAGAGTCTTGCAAACTGTGATGGTAAAGCACATGCCAATGATCAATTAATTAGATATTGTAAACACATCTGTTATATAGTGTAAAAGGATTCGCTGTAAAAAACGTTTTGCTAAACGCACTTGTTTCTACCCATTTTATCATTGATGACTGATGTTATATGACAGACTTAGTCTTACATAATTACACATTAACGTAAATTAAAGTCTTTTATAATTTCATATTCGTGTAAGCTTTGAAGTCCACTAAGAGGCCACCGGCACTTTTTCTGACACACGTTATACAAGAATTATATAGCCAGACATTCGGAAACTAAAACAGATTTCAACACCTCAAGGCCACATTAATGATTGCTGATAAAACCAATCCACCTGTCCGATTATTGTTAGCCCAATATCTAAGGCTCACTAACAGTGTATATACTATACGTATATACTATACGCAATTGTTTAAGACTGCCTTACATTAATAAAGTGCTATTACCACTAAAAGTCTCTCTTACCTGTATACATCCATCTTATCAGTATAAATCACGCTTACTTGTATACATCCATCTTACCGATATACATCACTCTTACGTGTATAAATCCCTTTTACCCGTAATCCAACCTACATGTAATAGGTACCATTACATATATGACAACACTTACCTGTAGCAGAGCTGGGATACGCGTGCGGTCGTAGGCATCCAGTCGCTTCCTGATATCAGCCACGTTGTTGTAGTCGTCAAGGTCAAAACCTGCGTCATCGGGGCAGGAACCAGAGATCACACCAAACTGTGGGTTGGGGAAGGGAGGGATAATTCGTTAGAGACTACACCAACCTGTGGGGTGGGGTTGGAGAAGCGATTTGGTTAGAAACTACACCAAACTGTGGGGGTGGGTGGAGGGGTAACGACTTGGTAAGTCAAGCTTAAACTATTGATTGTAGAAAACGGTTTGGGTTGAGTACATAAAACTTTACAAACAAATTCCTACGACGTAGATGACATAGAGACAGAATCTAAAACCCTCAACTGCAGTAATGCACGAGTCAGTTTTCTACTTACATATACCTCAATTTAATAAATTTATTTCAATTTTCTCAATATCGGTTAAACAGTAGGCAAATAGACCTTTTTTCACATTGGCCGTTTAAAAAATAAAATAAAAATAAAAACAAAAACAAAAATAAACCGGGAGTGATCTCCCCAAAACTTTCTCGAATATTCATAGAAAAAAAGAATTGCGCACCAAGCAAACGCCAAAACAAAATGTGCATAATAGTGCGGAATATTATTAGTACTTTATAAATTTACATGCGTTTTTTGAAAAATCGGAAATAGCGGAAATTACTACTTCCGGTCAACGGAAATTACTCAAACTTTGATAGAAGGTAGAGGATTACATATTTTACTTACGTGTGACATTTCATTTATCTATCTGAAATAGTTCTCAAGTTATAGGCTTTTGAGAAATTCAAAGTGAAAAAGTAACACTTCCGCTTATCGGAAATCGCTCAAAAGTTGATACGGTTCTACGAATTTGATAAAATACTTACATATGAAATTTCATCAACCTAGCTGTAACGGTACTCAAGTTATCGTGTTTACACACACACAGACACACACAGACATACGGGCAAGATTGCAAAATTATGTTTTTCCGTATCAGTGAGGTGTAAAACGTAGAGATTTGTAAAAATCTCGATTTTTTTTTGCACGATTACAAGACTTTCTCTATACTTCGTATAAACGAGAAAGTAAAAACCATTTTAATAAAAAAGCAGTTCAGCAGTAACATAGCATTAAAAAATTGGAATAAAGAAAAACAATATTACATAGGTATAATACAAAATGAGACAGAATGAGAATATAGCAGATGAATGAGAATTGTTGCAAGGAGTCATTTTTGGAGGTCATTAAAGAATATTGTTGTTTTAGTTTAGTTTTGAATATATTTTCAGATATAGATAGTTTTATTTTACTAGAAGGATTGTTTCACTAATTAGAATTTGGGTAAGCGAAGCTACGTGTTTGGAAACATGTTGTTTACGGGATGGGTAAACTTACACGACGATTAAATTTTGTGTTAAAAGAAATGTCTGATACGTAAGAGGCGGCTGTTTCTTAAAATATTTTGTATTAAAAAAATTCTGTAATATATATATATATATATATATATATATATATATATATATATATATATATATATATATATATATATATATATATATATATATATATATATATTAAATGTACCTGTTGCAATAAAATACTACTAGACAAACCAGTAACTATTTTTATGGCCCTTTTTGTAAAGACAATAAAGGACGCTGTTTTGTTATAAAGTAAAGCTGCCGCTCCACACTACAGAAGCATAATCCAACCTACATTGAATAAAAGCGTAATATAAAAAACCAACCTGCCACTATAGTCCACAAAATCTTTTATCCTTGCTAGTTGAAAATTAGTTGTCTTTAATAGGGACATTTTTAAAATAATGTTACGTCGACGTAGCCTTGGTCTCAAAATCGACAAGTTGGGAAGGTTTGGACATACGCTTAGAAGAATAGGGCAAATATCGCCAAGTAGGCACTAGACCGGAACACACAAGGAAAGATGACGAAGAAAATTCTGTAGGAGGTTTGAAAGTGGAACAAAGTCTTTGGTAATTAAATGGGCCCAACTGAAGAGATCCGTCCAGGATCGAGTTTTTTTTTTAGAAAAGTGTGGTTGGTGTCCTTCACTCTACTGGATTAAGTCAAGTCAAGTAAGTACAATAATCGTTTTCAACGCTAAATCTAGAAAAAAGTCTAATAATGAAAGGACTTACTCTAAAACCTGTTTTCATGTCATCATCGCTGATAACGGTCGATATAAAGGTGGTGGTCCATGATGTGTTATCGAAACCAAGTGACGCCGGGCTGAAGACAAAGTAGATGTCTGACGGGTTGATGTCACCACACCCTGAGGATGTAAGGCATGACAGGTCAGTGACACTAACATTACAAATGTCATGTTAATACCACTGACTCATACCAGATCAGTGACGTTGGCAATAAAGATAACTGGGCATGTTAAAAAACTGAAGATTTTACACATATAATTCTACGGAATAATTGAGCTTTACCTCCTTCGTTTTGCATATTTTCGGTTGCAGTTTTCTTAACCTCTGTTGAATATCAAGAAACAAAATGTATGGTGTATCTCAAGGATGGTAAACATAGTAACTTGTATACTTATGTTTAAAAAGTGTGGTTAAAAGATGATTGTAAGATTTTGTTCAATAGAAGTCAATGTCATAAGTAAGACTGGGGTGGCGTTAAGGATAGTAAAAGTTTATTTGCAGTGAACCTAGATTAGGCTTCACATAGAATCTAGAAATAACCATATCCTGGCCATACCAATAACCTTTCTTTTAATTGACATCTATGAGGTTTGTCGATGTGATAAACTAACCTATTTTAACTCACTCAGTCTCGTTATTTGCATAACATGTAATTAAATGTATTATCTATTGTATGTGAATGTGGGGTGATAAAAGAACTGGTATTGTTGTATGCAAAGGTCGTGTCTGAAGTTATAAATCATGAAGGCAGGAGTATATTTATTTTTAAAACATCCTAAAAGCATTCAATGTAATACATTCAGTGAAGAAGGGGTGGCTTACAATGCTATAACTTTATTGAACTTGAGATGTGGCATACAATGTTATAAATTCAGAGAACATGAGGGGGTGGCATATAATGTTATACGTTCTGTGTACTTACTCTGACAAATCTGATTAGCTAGCTCTTGTTTGATCCGCCTCAACTCCTCATATTTGTCTACACGGGAGACACGTGACTTGTCCCCTGCGATGTTGGTCAGCTCAGTTTCGTGGACTTTCGGGCCCACACCGATGGCGTACATAGTGATGTTCTGGTTTCTGGCGTTCTCGGCTTCTTTCTTGGTAAAATCTTTACTGCAAAATTATACGTTTACAGAAATGATGCAACCGAGATTACTCTTCTCCTCTTTCCCAAGGTTTATTGTTTAACGCCGAATGAAACATGTTTTTCCCTGGCGTTCACGCCCAGATAGAGAAAGAGAGAGCACGTCAGCTTTCTCATGCATGACCACATTCTTCCAGCTATATAATAAAGGACAAAGTAGCTAGACCGACGAAAGAGGGAATGAAGGACTGACACACTACCTGGCGGCTTTTACTATTATACTAGCCGTCGGTACCTGTTACACCTGAATTATAGGCCTATATATTTTCAATAATATAATTATTTTAAAAAAATCATTTATAAAATAGTTAATGGTCAAAACACAGCACTACACTTTGAGATATTAGTGACAAAGCAAAGAAATAAATAAAAAGCTAAACGTCCGGCACATTTAAAATAACGAAATAACTAAATAGCTACAAATCCGGCACATTAAAAATAACAAAGGTTACCAATACTTATTAGAAAAACCAAATTGTATACATTATTATCAACACAGCACCATATTAAATGCAAACACTGATCAAGAGACTTAAAAGATTCCGTTAAAAATCTGGCTGTTCAGTGATATTTATGTTGATTTTTTAAAGTAATTTGTATTAAATTTGGCCTAGAAAATTGTATACATTTTAGTAAATACATTAAGTAAATCTATAGATCTAAACCAAATTTGAATAAAATAGTTGATTTCTTCTTATTCTAAAATTGGAAAACGACGCCATTGATTTTGTGTACTTTTGTATTTTAACCTTGTGACATGTGAGGTCATTGGTTTTTGCGTTAATGTCACAACAATAAACACTTTTCCAGCTGCATAGTGAAAAATGTGTTTCTACATTCGAATATTCTTTTTTTTTATTTTCCTTCTATAAATAACATTTAGTTTATACATTTTAAACATCCGCTATATTATTTTTAACAAAAGTCCGGATCGTTAAGTTCTCCATACATCGCAGAACACACTGATCACATAGATTAAAAATGTTGCAGACAACGATAGAGAGAGAGAAGTGCGCACATGGGCTTTCATCTATTAGGATCTGTGGTGTAGTTTATAATGCTTAGTTTATCTTAGAAACTTACCAAATCGACTGGCCATTTGATTTAATACAAGCTGCAGTAACCGGCCTCAAGACAAAAAAACCCCCTAAAAACAAATCCATATATACGTGGAATCGGCACCTAAAAACGGCGCGCTAAAAATTCAGAAGGGTAAATTATGATGACACTGAATCACTATAAGACATGAGACAGATTCTTCGTTGTGTGATTAGAGAAAAATAGAAAACGCTGCAAGCACTATTGTTGCATACAAGTTACGTCAATGTAGCCGTGCCGTGCATTTTTCCAATAAGCTTTCTCAAAGCGGGCGGATGTGAATAATATTTAAACATATTAATTAATAAAGCTAGATGGGAATCATTATACAAACTAGCTGCAAACTAGAGCTCCGCCAAGGGAATCTTTTTAAATGTATCAACAATCGAACAGAACAAAACTAACACAAACACAGAAGAAAACACAAACATAACATAAACACAAAAAAAGAAAACACAAACACAATGTAAAGACAAACGCAAACAAACGCAAACACACAAACACAACACAGAAACACAAAATAAAACACAAACACTAAGCAAAGCAAACACAAACACAAACACAAACCAATAGCGCTCACAGGATAGATTACCGCGCAAAATCGAACCCTGCCCGTGCGCCGGCGGATGCGCCTGATTAAATTTAGTGAAAAACTATAAAAAAAAAACCATCTTGTCCGCAAACCAAAAGATAAAAGTAAACATAGCAACATTTAGGACTGGCTTCTAAACTGTTATAGAATAAAAATAATATTTAGTAAACAGTACGTTCAGTGTATAAAATAAATAAAAGTAGTGTTTAAAATATCAGTGTTTTACCTACCAAATTGCACATTATCAATCCATGCTAATTATATTATTTCAATAATAATTCCTTCTTGGACGTTTACAGATTTTGCATTCATTTTTTGTTATTAGCGTGAGTTGAATTTCTTTTTAAATTACCTTCCTTAGCAAAATTACAAAACAGTTTAATTAATTAGTTTTTTCGTCTCTACTATTATTAAAATGTATCAACGTGTTCTAGGTATCTACACGATAATATTATTTGACCGTTATCCAGTTAATAATTTTAGCAATTGGCGTGTATTTAATATTTTCTTTACGTTATGCGAAAGCGTAAAAAGTGGGCCAACTATAACATCAATTTAAGTCGTTATATAAACAAACTCTACTCTATTTCCTATAATAAAACAACGCGATGCAATTTAAAGCAATTTAAAGCAATGCATGGTTCGATGTTTACGTTTATGGTCGAGTGGTCGAGTTGGTAAAGCTCATGGTTGCTAAACCGAAAAGTCTCGAGTTCGAACCCTCGGGCAGATGAGGCTCGTTAGCTGGGGACAGCCACTCTTCTAGGAGAGAAAACTCCAAAATCAAACAACTGCTGCCTTGTAGCTTGTTCTTGGTTGGACAAAGGCTATGGAAGCAAATCCAAAAAGAAAAGTAGGCTGAAATAGAAATGGCCTCAATGGCGCATAACCAGTTGACACGTAACGCTTAATTGTGTTGGAGGCGTGGTCGAGTCGGCAAAAAGCTCATGGTTGATAAATTCGAACAAAGTCTCGAGTTCAAACCCTTTGGCAGATAAATCTCGATCCCATTCAACATTAATAATTAAGAACGAAGAAGAAGAAGTTTATGGTTTGAAACTCTAAAGCGAGACTGACTGACACACTACCAGCAGCGTTATATTATAGATAGGCCAGAAATTAACTTTAAACAGAAGTGTTGGCGAGCAATATGCTATTGCTATTATATAATCACTAGCCATCGGTACCCGTTACTTGGGCGATTCTGGTGACTTTTAGCTCTCTTTTCTTTACAAACTAGGCATGCTGCCCAGCTTCGCTTAGGCTTTCGAAAACATTGAGAATTTGAATGCTTAATCAATTCGCCCGAAGGTCGGTCTACGACCTCAAGAGTTATGAAGAGGTTCCTCCGTGGACATTTTTTTTCGATTTATAGCTCATATAAGGTACCGGTCAGTCGAGGTCAGTTTTGACCCCCACATCGTAGACTTTTCGGCCAACCGGCCCCCGTGTTCTGTCGCACCAAGGCAAGATCATGCCAAATTTGAAGCGCCTGCGGCGCCGGGAAGTGCCCTATCGGACACCCGACAATCTAGATCTAGATCTAGATTCCTAAAAGAATTTTTTTTTTAAGTTTAGCCCGAGCATAATAAAAAAGAATACATTAACCAAGTTGACTTGCTGTGTCTCGAACCCGCACCACCTGCGTGGTTTAATGTACACTAACATCTCCGCTATTTAGGCACCTTATAAAATACGGAGAATGAAACACGTATTTTAAAATCTTAACTTACGCGAATATGCCTATTCTTTCAAATTAATTTTTTATCCCAAATTAGCCAGTTCCAAACAAAGATTTTGTATAAAATAAATAAGTCTTGAAATAGTTTAGTCCTAATATAGACATTTATTTTTGGAATTGATTTTAGAGAAGTTAGAGTCTAAATCTAGATCTTAGCGTCTACGTCTAGATCTAGTTATTGCGTAGATTTAGATTTAGATTTAGTCTAGATCTAGAATCTCTAGATCTAGAATCCAAATACATAAAATAAATTTTATGAGTTTAGGCCGGAAAAATTGTATTGTATACATTTCATAGTGTACGTAGATCTAAATCAAATTTGAATGAAATAGTTCATTTCTTTTCATTCTTAACACGGCAGATGACGTCATTAGTTAATGTATAAGCAATAGTGACGTCACAGTTTTATGCGTTCTTTTTCACATATATTAATGCTTTTCCGGTTGCATAAATAATACTGTTTCTCTACATTCGAATACGCCTTTAATTTTTATTTTTCTTCTTTAAGTAAAATTGTGGTTATACATTTAAAACATCTAACATATTATTTTCAACAAAAGTCCGTAAAAAGTTCTCCATATACCGCTGCCGATTCTGACGTGATGTCCGGCGAAAATTTTTTGCGGACAGAGAAAGAGAGAGAGAGAGAGAGAGATGTGCGCACATTGGGCTTTTATAAATTAGGATAGGCTACCCTGTTTTTCTTTTATTTATCTCTGAAGAGCGGTATTTAAAACTGTACGGCGGAGGGTGTGGGGGATGTGTGTATGTGTGTGTGGGGTGATGGGTTGTAGCGGATACTTTTTTTTCTATATTTTTTTATGAATTACTTTTTTCAATTTCGATTGCAGGTCAAAGGGGAAGAAACGGTAGAGATGCATGAAAAAAATCTATATATCTAAGGAAAATGAGTAATGAAATGAATTGTAATTCAGCTTTTTAAAAATTAATTATCGGAAACTTACGAAAAGAAACATTTTATTGATCGGGAGCATTGAAATTAAACATTGTAAAGATTATGGAAAAAAAGGGTTTTGTTTTGTGTACTGTCTATGTTTATACTTGTTTAAAATATCAGACTACCAATACCTATTAGAATTTTTTTCATAAAAATCGTTTAAATAACATGCTTTCATGTATTAATGCACTAAAAAGTAGAAAATAAATTATACACTACTATTTAAATTACTATAAAGAAAAGCGTGGGTCACTTTAGTATCTATTGGATACATTTATTAATATTTAGGAAGAGACACATATGCGATGTCATTTATGGCTGACCCCCGAAGCCCACAGTTATCTAATGATAACGGGTATTCTAGTATCATATTAAATGCACACGCTGATTATGAGACTTAAAATTAAAAGACTTAAATGATTTCGTTAAAACCAATCTGTTCTATAGTAAATATGTTGTTTTTGTCTTTTAAAAACACCTGTTTCGGCTAAGCATGGGTCTGAGCACACTATCCCTTCATATACTTAGAAGACAGAAACAGGTGAACTCTACTTCACCTGGCCCATGTCCCGCCAATTCCCGATAGGCATCTTTATCATTCACATCTAAAAAAAAGTTGAAAAAAAAATTAAGATTGCCTTAGTGTGTCTCGAACCATTACTACCCGCATGGTATCAATTATACTCCATTTCACTGTAAATTTTTACGCAGAATATGTGGGGTACTTAAGAAACTTAACATACGAGAATAACGATTTATATAAAATAATAAACAAACAAAGATTGATATAAAGTAATTAAGGCCTGAAACGGTTAATATAGAAACTCATATTGCAATAGATTTTAGATCTAGTTAGATAGAATCTAAGTCTAGTTTTTCCTAAGATCTAGATCTGGAATCCAAATAGTTAATAGATAAAGTAAATTTTATAAGTTTAGGCCGAGAAAATTGTATTGTATACATTTCATAGCGTACGTCTAATTGATAAGTAGATTTAAATCAAATTTGAATGAAATATTTCACTTCTTTTTATTATAAAATTGGAAGATGACGCCATTAGTTTATTATTAACTTATAACTTAGAACGTATTTAGACAAAATCCGGACCATTTTCTGAACTTATTTAGGCAAAAACCGAACCATTTTCTGAACTTATTTAGTAAAAAAACAAACAATTTCCGGAACTTACTTAGGTAAAAACTGGGCCGTGTTCTGTGCTTATCTAATTAGGCAACAAACAGCCAATTTCACGTTCCGTTTAAGAAAATTAAGAAGAAGACCACAATCTAAATAACTGAACATAGCAATCACTAGCAACCAGGCACACAGTTTGAGCAGACAAAAGATACCAGAACATTCTCTAGACAGATCATCACTTACTCCTGGGAGTCTCCGTCCGTCAAGACTACGCCGACCTTGGGCACGTTGGGTCTGGTCAGGTGACTGGCTAGTTGACTCTGGTACATGTATTTGATGCCCTTCCCTGTTTCCGTTTTCCTACCTTGGCGGTGCTTGATTCCCCCAATGGCCGCCACTAGGTCATTCAGTTGTGTGTATGTCCCAAGGTTAAACCCGTCCTGAGATAAATTGTTTGGAACATCGCAGATAAAACAATTTCTAGATAATATTTCAATCTTCTACTCAATTAAATATTTGATTATTTCTGTGTATTAATTATTTAATTACTTCAATGTATTAATTATTTCATTACCCCCGAGTATTAATTATTTTATTATTCCGTATATATAAATAATTCATTGCCTCAGTGTATTAATTGTTTTATTACCACAGTGTATTGAGCATTTCATTACCCACGAGTAATATTTATTTCACAATCCCCGTGTATTAATTATATAATTATCCCCGTGTATATAATTGATTCATTGCCTTCGTGCATTGATTATCTCATTACCCATATGCATTAGTTATTTCATCCCCCCCCCCCACACACACATATTACTAATATTATCTCATAACCTCCGTGTTTTATTATACACGTGTATTTATTATTGTTTATTTCATTAACCCAATGAATTAAATTGGAGGAACTATGTTCCATAAGGATTAAATCAAGTCATTAAATTTTCATTACGCCTTGGATTAATTATCTTAATACCCCATGTATTAATTATCTCATTACCTGTGTGTAGAGCCCTTCACCGTACACGATCAGAGACACCCGTACAAAGCCGCCGTCCACGTCGAACTCTTTGACAAAGTCTTGTAGAAAACTTTTGGCGGCCGCAAACTCTGAGTTCATGATGGACACTGAGGCATCCAACACGATGCCCAGCTCTAGACTTTGTTGGTAACAAACTGCAGCAAGAAAATACAATACCTTTTGTCAGCAAGTCAAACTTTTATATTATGTTATGAAACATATACAATGAAAAATGCGTTTTTAACCAAAAAGTAAATTGTTGAGATAAATGGCCTTGCAAAAATCTAAAAATAATTTCCTTCTGACTTAGGTATAGTTAAAATAAAATCGATTATCGATGAAATCTTACTTAGCACGTGATCTCCCTTATCGACAATCCATTGTTTCTTCAGTGCAGATGCAGCTATGAACGAGATGTATATAGGTAAGTGGGGTGGGGTGTTGGAGTGGGGGGGGGGGAATCATTGCTATTGATAGCTATGGTGATTTTTTTTTAAATTATGTGAAATGAACAGGTTGCTAAAATGTAAAGCATAAAATATATGGGATCGAAAAGAATTATGAAAAAAAAATTTTCTAACAAAAATATAACATAGGGGATTAGTTTAAGTAGATATTTGTTACAACATGCCAGGATACGTACCTGCTTGGCACAGAAGAGGCTGTAGAAGAAAAAAGTTTACAACGTTTAGCAGCAAATAACAAAATGTTTGTTAGTGTTTTAAATCAATACATGACCAATATCGTTTGTTAAAAGAGGCGGATAATAAGCAAGATGAATAATAACCTCGCTTTTGTCATTAGACCTACTTAGTTGTGCATGATGATGGTTGTTTACTACCAAAATTTTAAATTAGCACTTTTAACTGTTGCTCATGATTTTATTGACTATCAAAAGAAGTTTTTCTAATGCTTGCTGGGGGGGGGGGGGGGAAGGGGAGGGGGGGGGGGAACACGCCTTTACACCCCCCACCCCCCCCCCCCCCGGGCCCGCCACTCGTGTCTTACACTGCCTCTCACGCAGTCTGTGTTAGTGATGATAAAAAAACGGGTCTCTACAAAACATTCCCTTCACCAGTACCTTTATAATCAATGTTTTATCATCAGAACTTATTCACACGTAGCTTTGGAAATAATACACTGTACTTCCTTATACAGTGATCAGGATACATATGAACTCTACTTCATCTGCCCTATCGATCGTTAAGTCAGAAAAAATTAATGTTGTTTAAAATAGATTTGTTTTTTAAAGTACGTCAGCAATCTGTTCAAACATGTTCTTTCTATGGCCAAAAAAATAAGATTGAGCTATATTTAGAATGTACTTCCGTATACCAATTAAGGTAACGACTGAAAGTCTAGTAACACATATACAAGTATTAGAGGTATCGAACACTTACCATCAACACAAAGCTAACAAGACTAATTCGAAGCATCTTGATACCCGCAGTCTACGATCCTTGATCAAATGTTCAAAAATAAATCAAGTCAATATTTCTACTAGAACTCAAATTCTATTGTGTGCAGAAGTGTGCTTGTACAATCACTATACCAGCTACCGACCGTATAGCTTCAACTTGGACACTATGACAAACAGAAGAAACAATTCAGTCTTTTATAACACAAAATCATGCTAAAAAACAAGTTGTTTAATTAAGTAATTACGTGTAATTAATCACTTTGTTAGCGTTAGAAACGTCTCATCTTAACTCTAAACTTTTAAATCGTTTCGTGACACCCATGCAAAATGCCATACCTATCGGCTAGGTGCTGCTCAGTTTGATGTACTGTTACGTGAAAGTTTTCCTTTGACCAATCCGATTGTATGATACATAGTTATGTCAGTATTTGGCTGTATCTGTCACAATGTGACTTCAAGTATGTTCGCAGTAGATGCTCTGTACTATCTATCCCATGTCCAAATGATAATTGGCATTGTCTCAAAAGAAGAAAAAAAATTCACTTTCTTTTACCCCATTTTCTAAATAACGATTGGTAATAACATTGAATATGATTTAGAAAGCGTTAATATTTTATATTAATTTTCCTATTGGTGAAGGAAGTCAAATGTATTTCATTTTTCGCACAAAGACAGACGCAAACGTACTTACAAGCACATATACTAATATACAAAAATATATACCCACACCAACACACCTTTTCATATATATATTATAATATATATATATGTATTTATGTTGTATATATGTATATGTAATATATAAAGTTCCAACGGATTCTGTGCCTTGGCAAAAGAGGCATATGGTAAAAATCTCGACTTGATCGGCATACTGTAATATTCTTAAAGCGTGCTTTTCTCAAATGAATGATACAAAAAAAAATATCGATAATTTTGATAAAAAGATTTTCAATATCTAAACGTATCACTTTAATTAACGTCACTTGAAATAAACAATCTCATAGAAAATGTATCATCCTTCACAAACATATTACATATTACTTCACTTTTTTCTTTCTCGTATACAGAGCAGCCTATAGAGAAAGTATGGTAATCGTGCACACACAAAAATAAATTTTGACATTCTTCGTTTTACACCTCAGTACTTCATCATATACGGAGTATAAGGACATATTTTAATGGGGCAAAAACTAGTAAAATGCAGGTTTATCAAAATTTTGGTGTTCTATGCGTAATCGAGTCGGAAAACCTGAGCATTGCAATTCAGTCCGTATCTGTGTGTGTGTTTGTGTGTGTATGTGAACACGATAACTTCAGTACAGTTAAAGCTAGGTTGATGAAATTTCATATACAAGTATTATATCAAATTTGTAGTTCTGTTTCAACTTTTCGGCGATTTCCGGTAACCGGAAGTGGGACTTACTCTACTTTCAATTTTTCAAAAGCCTATAACTTGAGTACTATTGCAGATAGATAAATGAAATTTCACAAATAAGTAAAAGATCTAATTATCTTCTACAGTGTCAAATTGTGAGCAATTTACATAAACCGGAAGTAGTGATTTACGCTATTTTCGATTTCTCAAAAAACGAGTATGAATGTGAAAAATACTAATAATATTCCACACTATTATATACAGATTGTTTGGCGTTCACTTGGTGCGCAATTCTTTTGTCTACGAGGTTTTATTCTGTTTAAAAAGTTTAAGTATTGAAATGGATTAAAAATCATGTCTATATCACAAGTTTCCATCCCCTGTTGTTTCATATAAGAATATTCGAACAAGTTTAGGGAAGATCACTCCCGATTAATTTTTCTTAATTATTAATTACTTCTCTTGATAGATCACGAAAAGACTATTACTTTCCTTTTGAAAAAACAAATAATCGGGGGAAAAAATACGTTTGATTAGTTTGTTTTGGTGTTGCAAAAAATAATTGCATAATTTCATGGATTGATAAAATGCAATGTGGTAGGTAAAACACGGATAATTTAAATACTCAACGTAGTGTTTATTAATTATTATTTGTAATCAATAACAGTTTAGAAGCCGCTACTAAATGTGCTCTATGTTTACTTCTATCCAGGGGCGTAGCGGGGGGGGGGGGGGGGGGCGGGGGTGCGGACCGTGCGTTTTAGTTTTTGTTTTCGTTTGTTTTTGGGTTTGTGTTTGTATTTTTGTTTGTGTTTTGGATGTGGTTGGTTGTGGTTAGTGTTTATTCGAAAGGTAATATATTTTCTAAAACATATTTATATATGCGTATATGCTGCTTAACAAAATAATGTTCCTTTAGTTATAGGTTTTTCACAGAAGCCAGTGCAGGGCTAGTAGGCCTATACATACATACATCTCTCTCTCTCTCTCTCTCTCTATCTATCTCTCTCTCTCTCTCTCTCTCTATATATATATATATATATATATATATATATATATATATATATATATACATATACATATATATATATATATATATATATATATATATATATATATATATATATATATATATATATATTCCAAATATAAACTCTTACAACATAAAAAGTCTATACTAATGTCATTGTGTAATTAGTGTCTTGCAATTAACTAAATCTTTGACCTTAAATTACACCACGCTCGCCAGCTAGACAGAATTGACCTCACTGAGATGAGATCAACATTACCTCACCAAAACTCCATTAATTCCCCAACTCGTTTCCCTAGCAATTAAACATGTAAACAGATCGGTCCTGATTGCGTTTAATCGCCTAGGCTCGTCTATGTTGACTGTATGCTAGTGGGGGTGGGATTACGCTATGTAAAACATCTAGGTACAATTATGTAAACTCTATTCCTGCAACCTTTTGAAGACCGTTTTCAACGAAACCTCCACAAATCGAAAGTAATTTGTCAAGGGTAGTAGGCCTATTTCTAATTAAACTTTAAAATTGTAATTTAATATTTCAGACTTTCATTAACATCATGTAATACTAAAACGTTTTATAATAATAAAAAAAAACAAAGATTAAAATTAGATATATCATTTATTAATTAGTAGCAATTGAAGAACATGAATCAGAGCAAAAACGGCATTGAACATAACATTAATTGATTTTGAACATAAAATTAATTAATCTCTGTTTCCGTGTTGACTGGATAGAAGGCGTAGGTTGCTATCCCACACATGTTCTTGCCACGTACAATGTTCATGTAGCCTTTCTGTCCCCAGTTGCTGCCTGGAATGATCACAAACACATACTAGTCATGGAAATGTAATCATACACGGCAGTTCACACCAGGGACCAGTGGCGTAGCGAGGTCGGGTGTCACCCGGTGCGGCACTTAATGGTGTCACCCCCCCCCCCCAGAGGCATAGAGACCCTTCCCGGGGACAAACTTTCAAACTTTCGATTTGCACCCCCCCCCCTTCTCAAACTTTCGATTTGCATCCCCCTCGAGTTTTTCTCTATATATTTTGCTAATTTTTACCTTGGTGTCACCCCCCTAAATGGTGTCACCCGGTGCGGTCCGCACCCCCCGCCCCGCCCCCCCTCGCTACGCCCCTGCCAAGGATACACTTAACTATCTTCTCACAAAGAAGATAGAATTAATAGACTATTTCAAAAGAGATTATTTTTATTAGCAGTGAATGAATAAGCCTTGAAAAAAAAACGTAATTCACTTTTTATAAAATGGAGATACAAAGATAAATCTGAGTGTTATTCTTGGTTAAGCCAACAAATTCAACTTCTTTATGTGTTTGTCGTAGCCAGGAGTATGTTGTAAGGGAAACTTTCAATTTATATCTTTTAAAAATTTGTATATGTATATAACATACACATACTTATGTTGTATGTATGCGGATACTGTTTAAACTCTATACCACCCAATAAGAAAACCTCGCTTTCAAAACAAAACGGGAAAGATTACACGATACACTAGCAGGTCTTAGTTAAACTTGAGACACGTGACATTTTAAGTGTATATGGTGTCTGGGGTGTGAAGGGGGGGGGGGTTACAGGGAGGGTCTGTTAGAAGGTACTTGGTATGTGGTGGAGGTAGATGTGTGTGTGGTGGTAAATGGTGTGTGTGGTGGTGGTACATGGTGCATGTGTTGGGGAGGGAAGAGCTGTATAGACGCACGTACATGCATGTAGAAACGAACGTCCAACACTAACAAAAGGTCAATTAGTGCTACAAACGTGTATGAAGATAAAACATCTATTTTAACGTCACAAACATAAGAAGATTAGAATGGGTTGAGAAACGAGATACATTCAGATTGATTGAAATACTTCATCACAAATGCATACACCGAGGCATTCAAGTAAATGATTAACAGACGACCACATATACAAGTACGGAGACACACACACACAATCGTTGAGAGACAAGTGCGTACTGAAATCACTCTAAACAAGATACACATAGACACACACGTACACACACACACATAGACACACATAGACACACACATAGACACAAACTGAGACATACATTTAGACACATAGACACACACATAGACACACACATAGACACACACATAGACACACACATACACACATACATAGACACACACAAAGACACACATATATACACACACATAGACACACACATAGACAAACACATAGACACATACATAGACACACACTAAGACATACATTTAGACACACATAGATACACATAGACAGACACATAGACACACACATAGACACGCACATAGACACACACATAGACACACACATAGAGACACACATAGACACATACATAGACACACACAAAGACACATACATAGACACACACATAGACACACACATAGACGCACACATACACACACATACACACACATAGACACACACATAGACACACACATAGACACACACTAAGGCATACATTTAGACACAAATAGATACACATAGACAGACACTCGGACACACACATAGACGCACAAATAGACACACATAGACACACACATAGACACACACATAAACATACACTAAGACATAAATTTAGACACACATAGATAAACATAGACAGACACATAGACAGACACATAGACGCACACATAGACACACATAGACACACACACATAGACACACACATAGACACATACATAGACACACACATAAACATACACTAAGACATACATTTAGACACACATAGACAGTCACATAGACACACACATAGACACACACCTAGACACACATAGACACACACATAGACACATACCCCAAGAGTTTTTAATTATCCAGTAATCCACACCGCCCTCCGTGCCGTATCCAATGATCTGTACGGCGTGATCCAGCATGGATGGGCTACAGTTTGGATCAGAGTAGATCCCACCAGTATACATCTGAAGCAAGGGATCAAGAGTTACGTTAGTGGGGTGGGTTATCGTGGGATCAAGAGTTACGTTAGTGGGGTGGGCTACAGTTTGGATCAGAGTAGATCCCACCAGTATACATCTGAAGCAAGGGATCAAGAGTTACGTTAGTGGGGTGGGCTATCGTGGGATCAAGAGTTACGTTAGTGGGGTGGGCTACAGTTTGGATCAGAGTAGATCCCACCAGTGTACATCTGAAGTATGGGATCAAGAGTTACGTTAGTGGGGTGGGCTACAGTTTGGATCAGAGTAGATCCCACCAGTGTACATCTGAAGCAGGGGATCAAGATTTACGTTAGTGGGGTGGGCTATCGAGGGATCAGAGTAGATCCCACCAGTGTACATCTGAAGTATGGGATCAAGATTTACGTTAGTGGGGTGGGTTACAGTTTGGATCAGAGTAGATCCCACCAGTGTACATCTGGAGCAGGGGATCAAGATTTACGTTAGTGGGGTGGGTTATCGTGGGATCAGAGTAGATCCCACCAGTGTACATCTGAAGTATGGGATCAAGATTTATGTTAGTGGGGTGGGCTACAGTTTGGATCAGAGTAGATCCCACCAGTGTACATCTGGAGCATGGGATCAAGATTTACGTTAGTGGGGTGGGTTATCGTGGGATCAGAGTAGATCCCACCAGTGTACATCTGAAGTATGGGATCAAGATTTATGTTAGTGGGGTGGGCTATCGTGGGGTCAAGATTTACGTTAGTGGGGTGGGCTACAGTTCGGATCAGAGTAGATCCCACCAGTGTACATCTGGAGCATGGGATCAAGATTTACGTTAGTGGGGTGGGTTATCGTGGGATCAGAGTAGATCCCACCAGTGTACATCTGAAGTATGGGATCAAGATTTATGTTAGTGGGGTGGGCTACAGTTTGGATCAGAGTAGATCCCACCAGTGTACATCTGAAGTATGGGATCAAGAGTTACGTTAGTGGGGTGGGCTGTTCGAGGGGGTCAAGATTTACGTTAGTGGGGTGAGCTGTTCAAGGGATCAAGATTTACGTTAGTGGGGTGGGTTATCGTGGGATCAATGGGATCAAGATTTACATTAGTGGTGTGGGTTATCGTGGGGTCAACATTTACGTTAGTGGGGTGGGTTATCGTGGGGTCAACATTTACGTTAGTGGGGTAAGCTGTTTGATGGATCAAGATTTACGTTAGTGGGGTGGGCTGTTCGAGGGGTCAACATTTACGTTAGTGGGGTGAGCTGTTTGATGGATCAAGACTTACAATAAGTATTGTTGTAATTGTAGTTTTGGGCTTCACTGGAATTGAAATTAACAGGTTTGTTTTTCTTTCAGTTGTATTGTGGGATTTGTATTTAAAAATAAATTAAAGGGCTTGAATGGCTTCAAAGTTTTAGATACAAGGCTTTAAAAAATTGTTGTGGTTTTAAGGTTTATATTAGTAGTAGCGATGTAGAAATTCCATGTTATTGAAGATAATGACAAAAGTAGTTATAATCAAAGACGTTGTTTAGACGTAAAATATATCAGAGTTATCAATAATATATTTTTTTTAAAAATTGTTAATCGACTATTTTTGTTACCTGAAAAGACACCTGCCCAGCGTTGATGTATGCAGCTATTGGTGTGGTGTGGATTACCTTCATCATGTTGTCCTCGTCACCTGATGGAATATAGCTGGTACCTGTCACCTGGGTTTAGAGACGAGATGAGTTACCTGACCGGTGTATATGTAGTTGTATGTAGAGAGTTAAATTTAAACGCGGCTAACTTATTCAAATTTAAACATAGATCTGTACATGAATATAAAATGCATGTGTATTTGTTTACTAATTACAAGCAAATGTTTTAGGTAATTCGAGAAAAGTGCGCTATAGCTAATCAGCAATTCACGAGTTCGTTTACCTAAGGCCACCAAGTTTGATTGAATACCTAATTCGAATCAGGTAAAGTAAAAGCGACTGAGGCTAGTTCTGGCCAAAATATCCCAATAGACTTCAAAGAAACAGAGTTATATTTCAGGTGATGTATGAATGATTAGGTCTCGAGATTACGCATTGTATACACAAAGTATATAATTTTTTCAACAATAATGCGAAAGAATGTAAAAACATTTAAATGTATTTATTCAAAAATCTGTGATCGACTGATACCCATACAAACATAAAGTTCAGATTAAAACACCAATGTTGTACACGCTTTCGCCATTGCGTTTCAGGGGTGTCCACAATATAGGTAAAATAACGTCGGTTATAATGGAAAACATAATGCGATATAGATCTATATCGAACTAAATTAAGTGTTACCAACTAACGATAAACTTACCCCACGAATAATGTCTACCCACCTTACAGCCGCAAGTATCACTTAACCACTATACCACACCAGGTAATGTGTACCCACCTTTCTACATCAGGTAATGTTAACCCACCTTACCACACCAGGTAATGTTAACCCACCTTGCCAACGGCTGTACACGACCCATTATTGCAGGTCCTACTGCCCTTCTTGTAGTCCTCCAGAGTACAAAGTCCACCAATGGCCTTGATGCAGTCAAACCCCCGGTACTTTGTCTGATGGAACTGGTCATCACAACAGTCAGACACTTCCTGTGTGCTCAGGTAGATGGCCTTTGTCTTGGTCTGGATGGACAACAGACTCTCTACACTCTCTGGAAACATACACGTTAGAATGTGATAAAAGTTGACTCTCTACGCTCTCTGGAAACATACACGTTAGAATCTGATAAAAGTTGGCTCTTTACGCTCTCTGGAAACATACACGTTAGAATGGGATAAAAGTTGGCTCTTTACGCTCTCTGGAAACATACACGTTAGAATGTGATAAAAGTTGACTCTCTACGCTCTCTGGAAACATACACGTTAGAATCTGATAAAAGTTGGCTCTTTACGCTCTCTGGAAACATACACGTTAGAATGGGATAAAAGTTGGCTCTTTACGCTCTCTGGAAACATACACGTTAGAATCTGATAAAAGTTGGCTCTTTACGCTCTCTGGAAACATACACGTTAGAATCTGATAAAAGTTGGCTCTCTACGCTCTATGGAAACATACACGTTAGAATGGGATAAAAATGGCTCTCTACGCTCTCTGGAAACATACACGTTAGAATGTGATAAAAGTTGGCTCTTTACGCTCTCTGCAAACATACACGTTAGAATGGGATAAAAATGGCTCTCTACGCTCTCTGGAAACATACACGTTAGAATGTGATAAAAGTTGGCTCTCTACGCTCTCTGCAAACATACACGTTAGAATGGGATAAAAATGGCTCTCTACGCTCTCTGGAAACATACACGTTAGAATGTGATAAAAGTTGGCTCTTTACGCTCTCTGGAAACATACACGTTAGAATGTGATAAAAGTTGGCTCTTTACGCTCTCTGGAAACATACACGTTAGAATGTGATAAAAGTTGGTTCTCTACGCTCTCTGGAAACATACACGTTAGAATGTGATAAAAGTTGGCTCTTTACGCTCTCTGGAAACATACACGTTAGAATGGGATAAAAGTTGGCTCTCTACGCTCTCTGGAAACATACACGTTAGAATGGGATAAAAGTTGGCTCTCTACGCTCTCTGGAAACATACACGTTAGAATGGGATAAAAGTTTTGTCTTTGGATGGACAGCAGATTCTCTACGCTCTATGGAAACATACACATTAGAATGTGATAACGGTTCTCTTTTGTGTCGTATGATATGCTTATATAATCTAGGCTTGATGTAGTTGCAGTGGAATTGGTCGGAAATATTTGCATTGTTAGATTGGAAATGCCATTGATAACTAGCAGACACAGTTGCCTAAGAATAAATTACGGTAGAAGAAAGCTTTTAAAAGTTAACTTGATACATATTTTGGTATACTAACTTTGATTGTGTTTAATTTTTTAAAAGTAGTATCTATAATAATAAAATAGAGAAAAGAGCACATATTCCTTGCTTAGAATCAATAGTCGGTCTTTGTAAATATTGTGTACAACTTGTGTTAGTCAAATAATATTTAGTCACTGATGTTGTGGCTCCACAGTATCAATAATAAGGCAAAAAATGTCTTTGTCGCCAGTTCTATCACAACAATTACTAAGCCGAAAATACGAAGTTTACATAAGTACCTGCGATGACGAAATCAACAACACTCCCAAGCTGGCCTTGATCACTGACAGGAGTTATTGCCCCGTAGTCTCTCCAGTCAAAGTGGTCGTCCCTGATCTGAATCGATTTTATTTAATAACCAGTATACAATGTACATACATATAGTTTCGTTCTCTCAAGTAAAATGTATCTAGATATAAATTGCATAAATACATTTCACCGTTCAGCATTTTTAAACAGATGGGAATCAACCTTAATGCATATGATGTATTTATAGTTATTAATCAAAATATTTTAAAAGCACCATTTTAGTCAGTTTGCCATTGGAATCTATTGGAGCGCTACTGTAGGAAATATTTTAATTTTGCTAGTCGTTGTACTATCGTGACACGGATATACCGGCTCAGGAGTTGGACTCCCATTAGCCAGGCAGGCCTCGACGTAGTGAACTCCAACTAACTGGCAACTTGTGGACTGAAACAGTCTCACGAAGACATTACTCGTTGCACTATATTGCTAGATATTGCATGGGTAACTGGAACGTTCTCGAACTAAAGCACTACAAATTCAACACAGCTTATCTATCTTATGATAAAGCTAAGGCCTTACTTCAGATCAGAAAGTAACCGTTAGTCCTACAACAAATACCTTTGTGGGGACTCCATAGGCTTGAGCCAGCACCATCACCGTCGCTAGAAAAACTTGAAGACGAGCCATTGTTACAGCAGGAGGTTGAGTAATGTCTCGTATGTCGACTTGTTATTGTTTTCACTGCTCCAAGTTTTATAGTGTGTACTGTTATCTGAAGGTGTCACACGCTTGCACTGCTCTTTATCACATGACTTGTATGACAGAAGATAAAAATAAACCCTAAAATCCTCGACCTACTTTTGTTTAAATTGTGTATACTTTTTAAATATCACCCCAAAGTTTGAGTTAGGCAACAGTGATGCTCTTTACACAACTTAAAAATCAAAACACTTTAGAAATTAATTGCATTATTATTTTATTAATTAAAAATCTACCTATAGAAATATAAAAAAAGGAAGACATTTCAAAAGTGATTGAAACAATAAAATGGCTTTAAATGGACCATGCACTAAAAATGAAGACATTTGAAACTCCTGCTTTGGTACTAAGTTGTTTTGTCCACAATAAAAAAAAAAAAAAGAACAATGGAAGCCATATAGAAACACGAGGACGTTTACCCGAGAAGAATTTAAAAAAAAAAACTGATCGTTTTGGGTAACTGACAAGAAAGTTGCCGAAGATCGGCAGAAAAGAAAATAACTTCCCGAGAAAATCAATGATCTGTGATCTGGGCGCAATGAGAAAAGAGCATGGTGATTCATATATTGAAATCTCAAAATTTTCTCTTATGCTTGTGAGATATTTGAATTTGCGTACTGTGTTTATAATGTAAATTAAGGCCTGTTTACTATATTTACAATTAGGTCGATCTTGTATGCTAATCTACAGTTGCACATGGATGTTTACAATCTTTACATCAGTACCTCGTAAAGCCTTTTTATGTAACACATTATTATATTAAGAAAATAGAAATACTTTATTAATTGTATCGTTTGAGGTTTTCGTTTTCATGTTTCGAAACGTATCGTGTAATAATAACGTTTGAACGTTCGACTTGTTTGTTAACATCAGTGTTTTAAAGGGAAGTAGCTGTCGAAGACAATGTTGTCTAAAATTACTGTTTACCTCCCTTTAAACAAATGGATTTACGATAACAGATTGTGATTACAATTGTGAAACGCCAGTACTAAATGAAACTTTGATGTAGCGTTTATGTTAGGGCTGATTAAGGCCTATTGATGCTTATTCGGCAGTAGCTATCAAAACACTGAACCGCTTGCAATGAGACTGTAAGGGGCAGAGGCGTAGCGAGGGCGGGGCAGGGCGGGGGGTGCGGACCGCTACGGTTGACACCATTTAGGGGGGTGACACCAAGGTAAAAAATTGCAAAATGTACAGAAGATAAATGTTTTTGCCAGTTCCATTAATGATTGATTAAAGTTAAATAGTCTGTTAAGTACAACTATTACAAGAGTGGGTGCTGACAACATGAAGTAAACGTGCTAACTATAGAGAAAACTGTATTATTAACAGACTATAGATAAACAACGTCACTGTTTAATCTGCGCTGATTACAGCTTACACACATTCATACACATACACACACACTTACACACACACACACATATATGTATATATATATCTATCTATATATCTATATATCTATATCTATATCTATATATATATATATATATATATATATATATATATATATATATATATATATATATATATATATATATATATATATATATATATATATATATTAGCCCTGCAAGGGGAGGGGGGGGGATAACAATACTATGTCCCTTCCTAGCCTTTCTAATTAAACTGTCCGTTCAGTGCAACCGTGGTAAAACCCACGCTGGTTAAATCCTAACCTTAGACTAGGTAAACAACACAAACAATTTTTAACAATTTAAAATAATTTATTGCAAAAATAGACACAAATATCTAAAGAAAGGATGCAAAAAAACAACCAGATCTAGATAAACCAAAACACGAACTATACAAAACAAAACTCGACTCAACAAAACATACAAAACAAAACACCCAAATCGGACTACAGTCAAGGTTTAATATAAATATCACAACAAGGTAAAACAAATGGATGGTGCTACGCCGACTTCTGATGTTTCGGATCGCCCAGGCTCTGAACACACAAGAGCTTCCCGCATCTCCTCGACATACAAAAGTGACTAGAAACATCTGCCCGAGACTGACATTCACACACCTTGCACACGACAAATCAACAAATAGTCCCTAATTCACAGAAAACAAACAACACGTCACGAAACCTAAGACAGAATTATACAAAAAAGAACTTAATATAAATATTGAAAACAAAATAAATAAAATATACACAGACTAGCCGTAAACGGCGACGTAAACAGTTACACAGCGGCGCCATTATACAGGACTACATAACTCAAAAGCACAAACAGTTTACGACATGAAACGAAACGATACATTCGCCTATATAACTATAGATAATAATTATAATGAAACACTTCAGCCACTCATATATATATACGAGAAAAATGGCCCGTTGAGGGAGGATACAACGGCGCTAGGTTGATAGTGCTGTCTATTTTCTCGGTACTTTAATTTATTCAAAATATAGTCATAGGCATATCCCTAAAACATGCACCTAATCTCAATGACAAAAGTCGCATTAAGAGTTTCTTTCAGGCAACTCTACTTGGGAGGAGGGAGCTTCGCCCCCCTCCCCCCCCCCCCCACCACACACACACTCCAAAACATGTCTACCGTCCCCCGGGGAGGAAAAAGTCTGAAAGAAACACTGGTGTCGCGCTTAGCCACTACCCGAAGAATTGCATTAAAGAAATTGCAAGAAAACCACTTTTTAGATTAGACACATTAATTAGGCGGTAATTTTATTATAGAGTACCGATGAAGAAATTTCTTTTGAGTTAGGGAGGGGGGGGGGTGCTCAGACGTTCTTACGCGGGGGTGGGGCTTCGCCCCTACCCGAAGAATTTTATGAAAGAAACTCTTCACGCAAACCACTTAGATTAGACAAAATTTACTTTTTATTCAATGTTTACTCGAGAATCAATGACGTCATATTACTGTGTGCACTCTCCGGCTTGAGATTATTTTCTACTGTGTGCTAAATGTGACGACGTCATACTTCGTTTTTCGTTTTATTGTGCAAGTTTTTAATTTGCTTGTGTTTTCTCTAGAGCGTTCTTGTCAGATAGAGCGTTCTTGTCATGTTTTCTCTAGAGCGTTCTTGTTAGATAGATAGATAGATAGATAGATAGATAGATAGATAGATAGATAGATAGATAGATAGATAGATAGATAGATAGATAGATAGATAGATAGATAGATAGATAGATAGATAGATAGATAGATAGATAGATAGATAGATAGATAGATAGATAGATAGATAGATAGATAGATAGATAGATAGATAGATAGATAGATAGATAGATAGATAGATAGATAGATAGATAGATAGATAGATAGATAGATAGATAGATAGATAGATAGATAGATAGATAGATAGATAGATAGATAGATAGATAGATAGATAGATAGATAGATAGATAGATAGATAGATAGATAGATAGATAGATAGATAGATAGATAGATAGATAGATAGATAGATAGATAGATAGATAGATAGATAGATAGATAGATAGATAGATAGATAGATAGATAGATAGATAGATAGATAGATAGAGTAGATAGATAGATAGATAGATAGATAGATAGATAGATAGATAGATAGATAGATAGATAGATAGATAGATAGATAGATAGATAGATAGATAGATAGATAGATAGATAGATAGATAGATAGATAGATAGATAGATAGATAGATAGATAGATAGATAGATAGATAGATAGATAGATAGATAGATAGATAGATAGATAGATAGATAGATAGATAGATAGATAGATAGATAGATAGATAGATAGATAGATAGATAGATAGATAGATAGATAGATAGATAGATAGATAGATAGATAGATAGATAGATAGATAGATAGATAGATAGATAGATAGATAGATAGATAGATAGATAGATAGATAGATAGATAGATAGATAGATAGATAGATAGATAGATAGATAGATAGATAGATAGATAGATAGATAGATAGATAGATAGATAGATAGATAGATAGATAGATAGATAGATAGATAGATAGATAGATAGATAGATAGATAGATAGATAGATAGATAGATAGATAGATAGATAGATAGATAGATAGATAGATAGATAGATAGATAGATAGATAGATAGATAGATAGATAGATAGATAGATAGATAGATAGATAGATAGATAGATAGATAGATAGATAGATAGATAGATAGATAGATAGATAGATAGATAGATAGATAGATAGATAGATAGATAGATAGATAGATAGATAGATAGATAGATAGATAGATAGATAGATAGATAGATAGATAGATAGATAGATAGATAGATAGATAGATAGATAGATAGATAGATAGATAGATAGATAGATAGATAGATAGATAGATAGATAGATAGATAGATAGATAGATAGATAGATAGATAGATAGATAGATAGATAGATAGATAGATAGATAGATAGATAGATAGATAGATAGATAGATAGATAGATAGATAGATAGATAGATAGATAGATAGATAGATAGATAGATAGATAGATAGATAGATAGATAGATAGATAGATAGATAGATAGATAGATAGATAGATAGATAGATAGATAGATAGATAGATAGATAGATAGATAGATAGATAGATAGATAGATAGATAGATAGATAGATAGATAGATAGATAGATAGATAGATAGATAGATAGATAGATAGATAGATAGATAGATAGATAGATAGATAGATAGATAGATAGATAGATAGATAGATAGATAGATAGATAGATAGATAGATAGATAGATAGATAGATAGATAGATAGATAGATAGATAGATAGATAGATAGATAGATAGATAGATAGATAGATAGATAGATAGATAGATAGATAGATAGATAGATAGATAGATAGATAGATAGATAGATAGATAGATAGATAGATAGATAGATAGATAGATAGATAGATAGATAGATAGATAGATAGATAGATAGATAGATAGATAGATAGATAGATAGATAGATAGATAGATAGATAGATAGATAGATAGATAGATAGATAGATAGATAGATAGATAGATAGATAGATAGATAGATAGATAGATAGATAGATAGATAGATA